TAAGCTATTGATGTCATCCACATCGCACCACAAGCTCGCCGTTTTTATCACACCCCCACAGGACCAGAACATGAGCTAAATTACAACTCAGGTCTGCATCCAACCTGGGAACCTACGCTGGAAATGTGTTGATCCGCTGGGCTGCTTAGTCCCAATGTGTAGCAGTATACATGTAGCTACAGTTTCTGACGGAATTTTTTTTTTAACCCTTTTGACTATATAGGCGCAGTATAAGTAGTTATATTCCTCGGTCATCATTGGAAAACCTGGAAATATTTTTTACAATTATTTTTCAGACCTGGATTTCAGAAATGCAATGCACATTAATAGACCTTAAAAATAATGGAAAAGACATTGACGTTTCTATAGTGAATATAAATTTTTCAACATATAAAAGATCAAAAATTGAAATATGACTGCACAATTATAACAATAGGCTTATTTATTTGTTTAACCAATGTTTTGGCCATCAGCCTCAAGATATTTGTATTTTAAAATATTCGTACACATATTTACAAGTGTATTAGTTCATTTCAAAGGATACCTGGCATAGACATTAAAAACTGCTCCCTTCAGAAATCTCTATTAAAAAATTTTCATCATAATTAATAGCAGCAATTTTTTTGTATATTATTTTATTGTTTTAATATCTAAGTATTTCATTGGTCAAATTTTGTGGAAACCCTGTTTTATATATATTATATATTATTATTATAATATATATTATATATATTTATATACATACTAGGGATGTAACGGTATGAAAATTTCTTACCACGATTATAGTGACCAAATTTATCACGGTTATCAGTATTATCACGGTATTGTTAAAATGTGCTGGGGATGTTCAAAAAGTACTGACACATAAATCACTTTCCCCAAGTTTTATATTTAAAAATCTACAAACAACAAAAAAAATGATTTTTTTGTTTGCATAATCACTAAAACAATAACATTACCAATGATGTTCGGATTTTAAATGACAACTTGACTGACAACAGTTTAATAGCATGTTCAAATATCTAATGTAAATATTCAAATAAAGCTTTAAAAAAAAGTTTCATCAAAAGGTAAACCTCACATTTTAACCTTTAAATAAAGAAATTATGTAAGTCAAAATGATAATTGATTAATACATGATTATATGTATTTTATCTGCTCCATAAATAATTCTAGATAACTTATCTGAATTGTTTAAATGTGTAGAATCCACATAAGCTTGTTTTTCATCAACCGGTCAAAATTTACAGCAGGGCATACAAATTCGGTCCGTTTTTGGCCAGACAGAAACGGCACACATGCTGAATATAAATATAGGTCTCTGTAAATCCACTCTCTGACAGCAGGTGGCGCTTATGGAAAAGCTGAATTAGAGCGGTTTCCGTAACCTCCGTGGACAAAGCAGTATTGCAATTAAGATCACTTCCTTTATGTATTACATTGAGCGAAGATGAAAACAAAATGCCATCGAGTCGTTTCTGAAGACAGTCAGAACCTTCAGGAGGTACATTCATATAATTAATTAATTCATATATTCATTTGTATAATTCCCTTAGCACTCTTTTAAAACCTCCCAGCTTTTCCGCCCTGTTTTCACTCAAAACTTTTAAAATCTGTAAAATCACACAGAATCTTTTGTAAACATTTTTAGGTGACTAAAAAACAAATCACTTCACAAAATATTTCTGCGATATTCACAACATTGGTTAAAATGATATATCAACAAGAAAATATGAATATATCGTGGATGTTTTATATGCATCATCCATCCCTGCATCATTGAAAGTCTTCACTGAGATAAAGATCTTGTAGCCCTCTGCACCTTGTCATAAAGAATACCGGCCGCTCGAGTACAGGCCAACCTGTTTCACGTGAGCACCTAACATTATTATCCCTGATAAAAATACCCTGTAATCTGATAATGCCCCCGCTTGTGTTGACATCTGTGTGTCTTTTACTGTGGCATCTTCGCATTTTCTCTAGATCTCCATTCTTCCCTTGCGTATTGACCTTTAACAGATATCAGAAATCAGCATGGCTCAGATCGTGATGCTCAGCCTTGCGCTCGGGGCTGGTTTGACTTCTCTTGAACAGTGTGTTGTTGTTGTTCTGTCATCAGGGTATTTTTTGGAGTTGCAGGCAGAGTATTTTTGAGGAGATGCAGAAGAGGTTCTCACAGGTAGCTGTGCTTGTGTTGCATGTGTGTGTTTATAGCAAGGTGATTCGTTTGATACTAACTCGCAAATGAAGACGTCAGGAAAAAAATCAGCTGGTTCAAAGAGAAGCCGAGGACACATACAGGCAGATGGGAATTTGAGGATGTAGTGTAAAACTCTAATAAAAAAATGTATAATCTAAATAAAATAAAAGCAAGATTGGTTGTTATTGTCTTATCCAAAATATAATATTTTAAATACAGTATATAAAATCTTTTTTTGGTTTTAGAGTGATGTTTTTTGACAAGCTCGATGAGATTCACTCAGTAATATTGGTAACACTTTACTTGAAGGGGTGTGCATAAGGCTGACATGACACCTTCATAATCATGACATGACACACGTCATGAATATGAAGGTTTTTTATGCATGTTTATGACAACTGTCATTAAGTGTCATTCGCTCAGTTATGTAATTTTTAATGCAAAGATGACATTGTTTGAGGTGTCTTTGTTATGGGCTATGGTTAGGGGTAGGGTTAGGTTAGGGTTAGGTCAAATAATGTCATATTTGCATTAAAAATGACATAACTGAGCGAATGACACTTAATGACAGTTGTCATAAACATGCATAAAACCTCCTTCATATTCATGACATGTGTCATGTCATGATTATGAAGGTATCATGTCAGTCTTATGCACACCCCTTCAAGTAAAGTGTTACCGTAATATTTTTCCTGGAAGCTGGGAATTTGAGTATATAGTGTAAAAATGTAATTGTCTTTAAAGTGGTTAAAGTCAACATGAATCAACATTCCTATTTTACTTTTCTTAGTAATGCAGAATATTCACGAATCACAAATGAACAATTTTGAAGAGACTTGATTTTATCCATTGATTGGGAATTAAATTGGATTGTTAAAAGTGAGCGTTACATAGCAAATTTTGTAGTCAATTGGACTGCACACTTTATGCAACATCAATGAAGTCACCAATGTCCAAGCTATAAAAGACAATCAAATTTTAAAAACCAATAAGTAAAGCGACAAAAACTGAAGTTTTATTTCATTTATTTGATAAAAACATGTTTTAAAAAATAATCAAAAGTAATTACAAACAAAAGGTTTAAAGTAAAGCACCCTTAAAACAGTCTATTCAAGTTACTTTCAATGCTTTTCCCATCAGAAATATACGTAGAAATGTTTTGCTTGCATCATTCTTGGTATTCTCAGTCAGCGCTTTTGGTAACATGATCAGTTCTTTAGCAGACGCTCAGACAGCGTATGAAAAGACAGTGGCTTTGCTTTGTAAACAACACCGGCAATTAACCAACCACCACCAGTCATGGAGTCGGCAGTATAGCCTTGACTGCACACTGTGGCCTCATTTGAGCACTAAAGCCATTACTAGTTTTAGTTGCAAAACTAGTTTTGCAGTTACATTTAACTGAGTGTCGCTATGTTTAATGATATGAATGTTTTCAATTAGTTAGGTTTGCTCGGCACTGTAATGTTTTAGTCTTGTTTAACCTTGATTTGTTCATGGTGGTTTGCAGAAATCTAACCTAAGTAGCTTTGTATTATTATTTGAGTTCAGTGTTGAAGTATGTACATACTTCCTAGCATACCATGTCTTCCAGGATGTTACATAACAATCAGACGATTAGACAGTTCTCTGATGGTATTGCATGGCACTAAAAGACTGTTGCACTTTGCTTGTCTATTGCTTTTTTACTGTCATGTCTGATGGAACATCAGCACTGGAGCTCAGCTTAAACTGATGTGTGAGCTTGGTTAAAGTAAACTCGGCATATGCGTTTGTGCATTTACAGATTGAAAGTGCAGCAGAGGAGCCAAGAGTGCTGTGTATAGTGCAGGACACCACCAGTGCCAAGACCATCAATGAGAGGCTGACGCTCAACCTGCCCGCCTCCACCCCCGTCAACAAACTCTACGAGGATGTGGCTCACAAGGCTGGATATGTGAACGGCACTTTCTACCTGACCTGGGCTAACACTGGTGCCATGGTGAGAGTCCTTCCATGTCCTTCCAAACAGACAAAGACTCTAGTTCGATTACTCAAAAACGTAATCTTTCGCCGCAAAATGAAAAGAAAAAATATGTAATTGATTGTGCATAAAGAAAATGTAATGTTTTCATAATTAATAGAGCCGTAATGTTAATTACAAAAAGTTTAGGCTCGGTAAGATTTTGTAATTCTGTAAATTTCACGAGTAATTACGAAGTAATTAAAAAAAAAAAAAAAATCTGAAATGTAAAATTTTGAAATAGATATGCTGAAATAATAGTTTTTTTTTGTGAAACAATCCAGTAATCTTTGTTTTATTTACAACTTCACCCATGTAGTAATAATGAATGAATATGCCCTGTTTATGAGTTAATTATTCACATATACTAGAGGTTTGTATTAGGGCTGTCAAAATGGTTAAAAAACTAAATTCGAATTTTGTACTTAAATATTATCAATATTCAAATTTACAAGGCATCATTTCAGTTAGGGGGAAAAAAGCTTTTTGCTTCTCTCCTGAGACCACAAGAGGGTGCATCGAGCAAAAAAATTACTAATGCGCGTTTCTTCAAAGCAATAAAATAACAAGACTATCTTTGAAAAAGTGCATAATGTTTAAATTAATGTTTATAAACCATATATAATTCATTAATTTGCTTAAACAATTAAACAAAACAGCATCATGTATGTATGTTTAATACAAAGGACCGAAAACCAATCACAAAGAGTTTTTATTTAAAATCATGAGACGCAGTTACATTAATTTTACATGGCTTTCTAAACATGCAGCTCTCTTGTGCGAGACGTGAGTGCAACGGTGATTGATGTCCCTCTAGATTAGAAAATGTTTTTGTATTCGAATGTAGATTTTTATTTTAAATTCGACGAATATTCGAAATTCTATTATTTTTTTTTGACAGCCTTAGTTTGTGTTTTGTAGTGTACTAGAGGTCTGCATGGGTATTTGAAACTTAACTCAACCAGTACTGTCAAATATAAGACCAAACCCAACCTGAAATTGCTCCCAATAGCTTGTTGGGTTCTGGTTTCTTAAGGATGGAATACACTAAATGACTATTAAATGTGCAGACTGACTGTGACTTTTGGCAACTAGTGTCGACTAAAGTCATTAGTGTGTTCCTGCCATTAATAATGCAAATAATTTATAATATGTTTTTTTATTAATTCTAAACACAAGCGTAATGCACACCTGACGTTACACAGACAGCGTCAGAGCCATGTTTTTACCACACCTCTGCAGTGCTATGATTAGATGGAGTTGTATCATGGACTCTGCTTCATTCTCCATCTAATTGTGTGTTAATCCCAGCGCTGACCCAGCACAGAGCCTGTAGCTGCAGGTAACTCTGAGTAGGTCAGTGGATTAGGGCCTGTTTCTGCCGTTACCCACGCTGCTCTCTCCGCCAGCGGAACATTAGCACGTCCAGACCTGTGGCTAAATTGCTAGTACATGTTGTCCCTCAGGTAGCACAGCCATTTCTTTCACACTAACTGAATCCTGGGACGAGATGTGGGTTATCTGCAGTACATCAGGTTGATTATTTTCTCTCTGAAGGTGTTTTTGCAATATTTCTGCATGTATAGACTTGCTCTCTGTGTTGTGTTCCAGACAACATCTTGTCTGACTTGTTATTTGTTGTTCTGATAGTTTTTTTTTACTACCTCTCACTTAGGGCTGGACGATATGGCCTAAATGGATATCACGATATATTTCTTAATTTCGGTCGATACGATATAATTCCGATATCGATATGAACACTATTTATCTGAAATAGAAATCTTTTGTAACATTATAAATGCCTTTATCATCACTTTTGATCAATTTTAAGCATCCTTGCTAAATAAAAGTATTAATTTCTATAATTTCTTTCCCCAAAAAATTATAAAAATTATACTGTATGTAATAGTGTATAATGTTACAAAAGCTTTTTATTTCAGATAAATGCTGATCTTTGGATCTTTCTATTCATCAAAGAATCCTGAAAAAAAAAATTACTCAACTGTTTTAAATATTGATAATCAGCAAATCAGCATATTAGAATGATTTCTGAAGGATCATGTGACACTGAAGACTGGAGCAATGATGCTGAAAATACAGCTATGTATGATCACAGGAATAAATTACATTTTAAAATCTATTCAAATAGAAAGCAATTTTAAATAGTAAAAATATTTCAACATTTTACTGTTTTTGCTGTACTTTGGATCAAATAAATGCAGCCTTGGTGAGCAGAAGAGAATTCTTAAAAAAATAAAAATTAAAAAACAAAATTAAAAATCTTACTGTTCAAAAACTTTTGACTGGTAGTGTAGGCTGATTATTCTTATAGATTGAAACAAATGTGCTTCAGCCAGAAAAAAGGGTATGAAAAGTGCTCCGAGTCGCTGCAGAAAACAAAAAAAATTGAGCAACAACAAAAACTGGAAATGTTGTTGGAGACAGGGTTATTTAAAATGAAAACCCATTCTCTGCAAGCAGGAGGCGCTTTTAAAATGATAAAACTAGCGGTTTCTCCAGTAATGGCTGTAATCAAAGCAGCTCCGCTCATGAATGCTACTTTATCAAATCAAATGAAAATGCCATCGAAACTTTCTGAAGACAGTCGGTTCCCTTCAGAGATACAGTCATATAAAACACCCGCGCCGTGTTATGATTTTGAAACGTGCAGTGCTCATGTTTATTCAACGAAGTCAAACGGCACAAATAAATCAACGTATGGGAAACTGGTAATTCTCAAATCTGCACCTGAAGGCTCCTCTGGACCAGGCCAGTGAGATGTCCCTGGTGTTGTCCGGTTTTGAGGCGGGGAAAAGGAATTTCCTGCAGCTTACGGACAAGGACGGGGAGCAGCCTCAGATCACTTCAGTGAGTCACCATGTCAGCAGTTTAACTGGGTTAAAAAAAAAAAAACACAACAAATCCCACCCCCCCCAATTTTTTTTTGTTTTATCAATCGTTTGTTCATTTGTTCTATGAATCGTTTGTCTATCTATCGTTCTATCCATTGTTCTGTCATTCTATCTGCATAGATGTAATTTAATGTTCTATATCGTTCTAAATTTTGATCTATCGTTTGATCATCCGTTCTATCTTTCAATCTTTTATTCATTAATTTGTTCTTTCAATCGTTTGTTCATTCCATCTGTTGTTGTTTCTGTCTGTCTCTTGTCTGTTCTGTCATTCGTTGTCTATTGTTTGTTTGTTTGTTTGCTTGTGTGATCATTCTATCTATATAGTTCTGTTTATCTAATGACCTCTCTGTCTGTCTATCTATTTATCTATCTATCTATTTATTGTTGTCTCGTTCTATCGTTCGATCCTCTTTATATACAGTATCTCACAAAAGTGAGTACACCCCTCACATTTTTGTAAATATTTTATTATATCTTTTCATGTAACAACACTGAAGAAATGTCACTTTGCTACAATGTAAAGTAGTTAGTGTACAGCTTGTATAACAGTGTAAATTTGCTGTCCCCTCAAAATAACTAAACACACAGCCATTAATGTCTAAACCGCTGGCCACAAAAAGTGAGTACACCCCTAAATGAAAATGTCCAAATTGGGCCCAAAGTGTCAATATTTTGTGTGGCCACCATTATTTTCCAGCACTGCCTCTTAACCCTCTTGGGCATGGAGTTCACCAGAGTTTCACAGGTTGCCACTGGAGTCCTCTTCCACTCCTCCATGACGACATCACTGAGCTGGTGGTTGTTAGAGACCTTGCGGTCATCCACAGATGCTCAATAGGGTTTAGGTCTGGAGACATGCTTGGCCAATCCATCACCTTTACCCTCAGCTTCTTTAGCAAGGCAGTGGTCGTCTTGGAGGTGTGTTTGGGACCACAGGACATGGTTCCAGTAATCCATGTCCTTAGTCTGCTTGTCTTCAGCAAACTGTTTGCGGGCTTTCTTGTGCATCATCTTTAGAAGAGGCTTCCTTCTGGGACGACTGCCATGCAGACCAATTTGATGCAGTGTGCGGTGTATGGTCTGAGCACTGGCAGGCTGACCCCTTCAACCTCTGCAGCAATGCTGGCAGCACTCATGCGTCTATTTCCCAAACACAACCTCTGGCTATGACACTGAGCACGTGCACTCAACTTCTTTGGTCGACCATGGTGAGGCCTGTTCTGAGTGAAACCTGTCCTGTTAAACCGCTGTATGGTCTTGGCCACCGTGCTGCAGCTCAGTTTCAGGGTCTTGGCAATATTCTTATAGCCTACACCATCTTTATGTAGAGCAACAATTATTTTTTTTAGATCCTCAGAGAGTTCTTTGCCATGAAGTGCCATGTTGAACTTCCAGTGACCAGTATGTGAGAGCGATAACACCAAATTTAACACACCTGCTCCCCATTCACACCTGAGACCTTGTAACACAAATGAGTCACATGACACCGGGGAGAGAAAATGACTAATTGGGCCCAATTTGGAAATTTTCACTTAGGGGTGTACTCACTTTCATGGCCAGCGGTTTAGACATTAATGGCTGTGTGTTGAGTTATTTTGAGGGGACAGCAAATTTACACTGTTACATAAGCTGTACACTCACTACTTTACGTTGTAGCAAAGTGTAATTTCTTCAGTATTGTCACATGAAAAGATATAATAAAATATTTACAAAAATGTGAGGGGTGTACTCACTTCTGTGAGATACTGTATCAGACAAAAATGCAAAGAAAGTTCAAAATCTATCTTTTATTCTGTCGTTCTATCATCTTTATTTATTTATATTTTAACAAAAATGCAAAGAAAGCTTCAAGTAGGGGGAACAATTTTGGAGTTGAACTTAGTTTCACATTTTTGTTCCCACTGTTTGTTGTGGAATCCAGTTTAGGTTACATTTACATTTATTCATTTAGCAGACACTTTTATCCAAAGTGACTTACAATTGAGGAATACAACAAGCGATTAATCTTAAAGAGCCAAATTAACATAGGAAGTGCTTGTAACACAAAGTTTCAGACAGGTTGTTACCTTTTGGGTTCCTGACTTATTTATTTCCAGTAGAAATTAAGGATACCACACAATATGAATGCAATGAGTGTTAATTTGATATTCTTTTGGCATGGGATCTTAATTTTGTGAGGCATGGTATAAAACTAGATGGTGAATATTGCATGTTTAGCATTATTCATGTGCAACTCTCTTACAGGATGAATCTGGCACAGCGGACAGCAGTGGTGTTGATGACAGCTCTCAGGGTCGCTTCATCGGACCCTTACCGCGGGACGGGACTGTGGGCTGCAGCAGTGACTACAGCAGCCCCAGTTACTCGTACTCCTCCATACTTAACAAATCAGAGACAGGTAGCCCTCCTTTAACATACATTGGTCAAAAAGAACATGCCAACTTTGCCACATAGATTTATTTGTCTTGTAACCTCTGCTTTCAAGGTTATGTTGGTTTGGTCAACCAAGCAATGACCTGTTACCTGAACAGCCTCCTGCAGACCCTGTTCATGACCCCTGAGTTCAGGAATGCACTCTACAAGTAAGTAGTCCGTGTCAAGTTTAGTGGGATAAATAGTTTATATGAACTAGATTTAAGCAACACGCCAAGATAAAGCAGAGTTCCTGCAACCATTGATGCAGATATTGTTAAATCAGAATTTTGAATTCCAACTGTGTTTTGAATGTTTCTGCACCAGTTGGGAGTTTGAGGAGTCAGAGGAGGATCCGGTCATCAGTATCCCGTACCAGCTCAAGAGGCTGTTTGTGCTTCTGCAGACCAGTAAGAAGCGTGCCATCGAGACCACAGACGTGACCCGCAGCTTTGGCTGGGACAGCAGTGAGGGTACGAGGCTTCACTTAATGTCCCTTTGGGAAACTTTACCCACATTAACACTGCTGTGATCAGATAGCAGGAGGAGTCTTGATTTCTTGATACTGTGAAACTCTTTACCTTGTTTGTCTTGCAGCCTGGCAGCAGCACGACGTCCAGGAGCTTTGCAGAGTCATGTTTGATGCACTAGAGCAGAAGTGGAAACAGACTGAGCAGGTATGTGACGCAAGCCCCGCCTCCTCATCACATGATGCTAATCCACAACCAGTGAGATCTCTAGACTAGGACAAAAGACCCAGTGTTGAGTCAAATAAAAATAATTTTAGGCAGTTCCAAGCTTTTTTTGCGGTGTAAACAGCAGCCGAGTCTGGACTGGTGGGTTTTACCCATTCAGTGTGGGTTGGATCAGGAGCCACGCACTGAATTCTGTGGATTTTCTTCACAGGTTTGCATGTTTCTACACTCAGCTCATTGTTCTCTTCTAAGCTGGGTGCTGTAAGACTTTAAATCTCTATATTTGTGTCAGTAAGTTGGCAAAACTAGTTGTTGAAGTGAAAACATGTCTCAACCTCTTTTTCGGGGTTTGAGTTTATAGCGGGGTCCAAAAGTATTTAGTCCAAAAGGCTCTGACATGCCAGCCAAAGCGATATCTAAGAACTAGCAACGACGAAAACAGAGTGTTTTGTCATCTCACATCGCCTGCCATAAACACTGTATTATGTATGCCAGGCCAGTAGATGGTGCTTTCACCTTGTTAGTAAACAGAACCTGCAGGGAAGTAAAGATTATATGATGTATATATGATGCATCTCTGCTGTTGGTTGTAATATTGGTGAAGTAAATCCACACTTCCACAATTGAGCGTTAGCAAACTCTTGAGCAGCAACAGCAGTACCATATACTCTGCCATTGTTGTGTATGTTTGTTCGCCTGAATATATACGTGTAGATTCCCGGGATACGGGAATCTACACGTACTGCGCATGTCTACATACCTAACACGTACTACGCACGTGCATGACGTCACCGTTTTCAAAGATTCCTGTATACCATATTTTATACGGAAATGACAACGGTGCCGTTTTCCAAAACTTCCACTTTGAAACCCGTTTTCAAAAATATGCATTTTCAGTCCCCAAAACGCTGTTGTCGTGTAAACGAACAGTCAAAACGCATAAAAGGTTTCCCGTTTTTGGCTGAAAATGTCGTGTAAATAGCCTCTAAAAGCCAACGGTCAACTGCCCTGCATAAGAGGAAATAACACTCCATTCCAGCAGGTGGCAGTATTCTGTATTTGATCAAAACGAAGACTGCAGATATGCAAACTGTAAACAAGCAGCGCTTGCTTATCATTTTCCAATATGAATCATGTTGATCATTTGGTCTTTGCTTTATTCAGGCATTCATGTTGTAATGTCTGCGTATTGGAAACCGAAACAAGGATATTAAACATATGCATGTATACAAAACGTAAACAAAGCAGCCTCTGATCATGTGAACTACATGTAAACGTGTATAGATGATTCAGTGTACTTGCTTCTGTTGAAGAACAAGATTCTCTTTGGTTGATTAACTAATCATGCTGGAGAACATGATCATCAGGTTTTACACAAAGTTGTAGAGCTCATGCAGCTGAAGCTCTGCTGTCATTAATGCACGTCACATACCAAAGATATTATGAAATTCAGTTTCACTTTTTCAACTCAACTTTTCACCCAACTTATGCTAATCGTATCATCTATAATAGGAAAAAAATCAGTTAATTAGGAAATTGTTTGCAACTGGACTGACTGCAAGTTTCATTCTGAATGTGTGGGTGTTTACCGAACAGTTTTGTGATTAGTGGTGTATGCAAAGTGTTTTGATGTACTGTCTTTTGTTTTTTCCAGGCTGACCTGATCAACCAGCTTTACCAGGGCAAACTGAAGGACTATGTGCGCTGTTTGGAGTGTGGCTATGAGAGCTGGAGGATTGACACGTACTTGGACATTCCTCTGGTCATCAGGCCCTTTGGGGCCAGCCAGGCTTTTGGCAGCGTGGTGCGTCCGGCTGTCATGATGATTTTTTGTAGCTGTTGCAGTATAGCTGACTAGCAGATGCAGAATTAAATTGTAGTTTTATATGGCAACAGAATTGTCAGTTTATTGATTTTATTACTGTTTGAAATGGAAATATGACCTTTGCAATATGCTAAGAGCTACTAATGTACATTGGTCTTAAAAAACAAACAGAGTCCACAGCTAGCCCAAATATATTTATATATATATTGTCATCCAAAGCGCTGAACAGTGTTATTTTAAATTATTTATATATTATGGTATTTATTTAAAATTTGAATTATTTATTTTTTGTTTTTGTTTTAATTTTATATGCTTCTGTCCTTTTTATTAGTTTTTGTATTAAATATTTCTGTTTTATTTTTTATTCCGTTTTTCGAAATTTTGGTACCTAAACTTATTTTCAGTTTGTTGCCAAGGCAATTTAATCTCACAATTATATTTTTGATCAGTTTTTCATCTAATAGTTAGATTTTATTTTATTTCAGTTAATGAAAACAATGTTTAATAGTTTTAGTTTTAGTTAACAATGACGGCACTGGTACTAAATGTCAAATGCAATATCCAAATGACAGTGGAGCCAAAAACCAGCAGTCTGAAACAATTATTATCTAAATAGTTCTTTAGTAGCAACCTCATTGAACTTTTGATCGACATGTTTGTCCTCATTGTCCATTGATTTTATGTCGAACAGGAAGAAGCCCTGCAAGCTTTCATCCAGCCTGAGACTCTTGACGGTCCCAACCAATACTTCTGTGAGCGCTGCAAAAAGAAATGTGACGCCCGCAAGGTGATTCAGATCACAGATGACGATTGTGAAGTCCTGTACAACATTTCAGTTTCTGATGCAGTGTTTTTTTTTGTCTCCAGGGTCTGAGATTCCTCCATTTCCCATACCTGCTGACTCTGCAGCTGAAACGCTTCGACTTTGATTACACCACTATGCACCGCATTAAACTCAATGACCGCATGACCTTCCCAGAGGAGCTGGACATGAGCCCCTTCATCGACGTTGAGGATGAGGTGAGACAGCTTTATGCTCTCTTTTTTTGAGTGCTCATATCCGTATTGAGTCCATACTTAATGAACGGATGATCTTGTCTAACCTTTTTACACCTAGTGTTAACATCCCAGATGTGTCTCTAGTGACCATTTGTGATTAGTTGTCATGAAGGAGTTAGTTTCTGATTTTGTGAACAGACCTATGTGATAACATGGTTGAAAATGTGCATTTGAGTTTTATGAACATGCTGTTGCACCTTTAATAACTTTTAAGGCTTATTTATATAAGCTTTTTAGTTGGTTATATCATTGAGTTGTAAAGACCGACTTCTCATAGCATAAGGACATGCAGTCTCATGAATAACTATGTGACACCGATGCGTTATCAAAGTATTTCAGTCATTTGCCATTTGACAGCACAGTGTAGATTTTAAACCTGGAAGACAAAAAAAGCTTAAAATTAACCATTTGTCTCCTATTAACAAATGATATAATAGTCTTCTATGATGTGCAACACAAACACCTTTGTTAAATTCTCAGAAAAAGTAGTTCTGTATTTCATGACCCTTAGGACACTCACATAAAGCGATATACTATGGAAGTACGATATTGGATTTTTGCCGATATCCGATATGCCGATATTTTCAACTCATTTTTGCCGATACGCATGCCGATACCGATATATTTCCTTTTATTTGGAAACAACACTAAGGCTATCCTGTGCAGAAATTCTAAACACATTATTTTTTATTTTGGTTAGTTTTTTAACAAAAACTAATTTGTTAGAATTAAATAAACAATAATGAAGTTATTTTATAATGAGAGTACATTGAAAGCTTTGAAAGTAATTATAAATCAACTATAAATCAATCACTTTTTTTTCAGACAGATGCAGTGGTAACCTTAACATTTTATTTAAAGATTTAACATTTGTAGATGGTCTAAAGAAAAAGTTGCAAACATTCTGAAAATCTTTCATAGTTCATCATCTGTTTAAAAAACATATTACACATTAATAAATAAATCTTTATGTATAAAATGATAAAATTTCTAGTGACATGTTTGTGATTTTTATTCATGTATTGTAAGCTATATCAAATTCCCTTTAAGGCAAGTCATGTCACTTGGCGGCCATCTTGGAAACGCCTCCAAATGCCTATCTCTTTGAATGGGGAAACATCAAATTCTCCAAAACTGTTCACTAAGCTTATGATTAAATTTCATATTTGAAATCACCAATAAAATCTGACAACAACTGTATCATAAATGTTGTTTATTTTGCTCAAATAGCATTAAAAAAGCTTATTTTTCAAGCTAGATCAGCCAGTGCGCATGCGCAGTCCTAACCGCACGTCTCAGAGCGTTGACTGTTTCTATAGCAACTGGGACGTCTAACGGCAGCTGCAGTGACACGCTGACTTTACCGATTAGCGATAGGCTCTTTTCCTCAGAAGGCGGGGCTTCGTTTGATAGAGCGGCCATATTGAGTTTTGCATTTTTCCCCATTCAAAACTATACGAGTGACACGTCTTGGGTGTTCTATAGTCTTTGGCTATATCTTCTGACCTTTAAATCAAAACGTACTCGTGATTTTACGACAGCAGTTACTGCTTTATTTAATCAGAAATACAATCTTGATGTTATTTGTGTATTTTACTTTCATTTTTGTACAAGTAGTCCAACAGTGCCCCCTAGGGAATTAAAACTCCTTACCTGACGGGCATTAGGACCTGGAGTAGGCTGCCACAGCGCAAGTAACTGTTGAATCTATTGCGCACCGGACGCTTCATTCTGTTCTTGCATTCTCAGTTTAAATGCAGCAATCAAAAACAGTGAATCACCATTCAGTGCAAATAATGACCACAATGCTGACTTGATCTTATCGCTAGCACACCCTGAGCACATGTGAGTTGTTCATCTTATCGGCATAATTGTACATATCGGACCGATGTCGATGTTTACATTTTAAGCCATTATAGACCAGTTCCGATAATATTGTGCATCCCTAATATACACTCACCGGCCACTTTATTAGGTACACCTGTTCAATTGCTTGGTAACACAAATTGCTAATCAGCCAATCACATGGCAGCAATTCAATGCATTTAGGCATCTAGATGTGGTGAAGACGACTTGCTGAAGTTCAAACCGAGCATCAGAATGGGGAAGAAAGAGGATTTAAGTGACTTTGAACGTGGAAGGGTTGTTGGTGCCAGACGGGCTGGTCTGAGTATTTAAAAAAACTGCTGATCTACTGGGATTTTCACGCACAACCATCTCTAGGGTTTACAGAGAATGGTCCAAAAAAGAGAAAATATCCAGTGATGTGGACAAAAATGCCTGGTTGATGTCAGAGGTCAAAGGGGAATGGGCAGACTGGTTAGAGATGATAGAAAGGCAACAGTAACTCAAATAACCACTCGTTACAACCAAGGTATGCAGAATACCATCTCTGAACGCACAACACGTCGAACCCTGAAGCAGATGGGCTAAAGCAGCAGAAGACCACACCGGGTGCCGCTCCTGTCAGCTAAGAACAGAAAACGGAGGCTACAATACGCACAGGCTCACCAAAATTGGACCATAGAAGATTGGAAAAACGTTGCCTGGTCTGATGAGTCTCAATTTCTGCTGCAACATTAAGATGGTAGGGTCAGAATTTGGCGTAAAGAACATGAAAGCATGGATCCATCCTGCCTTGTCTCAACGGTTCAGGCTGGTGATGGTGGTGTAATGGTGTGTGGGATATTTTCTTGGCACACTTTGGGCCCCTTAGTACCAACTGAGCATTGTTAATTTTTTAACAATGCTTAAAAAAACACAGCCTACCCGAGTATTGTTGCTGACCATGTCCATCCCCTTATGACTACAGTGTACCCATCTTCTGATGGCTACTTCCAGCAGGATAATGCACCCTGTCACAAAGCTCAAATCATCTCAGACTGGTTTCTTGAACATGACAATGAGTTCACTTTACTCAAATGGCCTCCACAGTCACCAGATCTCAATCCAATAGAGCACCTTTGGGATGTGGCGGAACGGGAGATTCGCATCATGGATGTGCAGCCAACAAATCTGCAGCAACTGCGTGATGCTATCATGTCAATAATGGACCAACATCTCTGAGGAATGTTTCCAACACCTTGTTGAATCTATGCCACGAAGAATTAAGGCAGTTCTGAAGGCAAAAGGGGGTCCAAACCGGTACTAGCAAGGTGTACCTAATAAAGTGGCCAGTGAGTGTATACTATAGCAAATCTCTGCCTTATATTTTATTTTTGTAAGGAAATGTAACTGTTATCACCCAGCTCTGCATATAAAGTTGGATATTTAAGTATGCACAGCTTTATTTGCATACATACTCATGGTGGGATGTTGTGTATATAGCATATCTCAACTGCTTGTATCATCACGAAATGTCATCTATATTATCATCCAGCTTTGATCTGCTTAATGTGACTATAAAGCATGAAGATATTAAAAATATTAACATCATGGTTTCCTGTAAAGCTGCTTTGAAACAATGTGTATTGCGAAAAGCACTACTAATAAACTTGACTTAATCTCAACATTTGGCAACAGACTGATAAAGGCAGCAAGTATAATAAGAGTCACATTTCTCATTTCCTATTATTTAATTCTGTTTAAAAGAATCGTTACAGAAAACCTGAATCATTAAGAGACGCATGATAGAGCCCTGCACGGGCCTCAAATGCTCAGGCCCGGCCCTTGTCCGACAGCTTATCAGCAGACAGTGAGCTGATCATAGCCTATGTTTGATCAATTTAGCCTTCTCAAATCATCACGACTTACCTAAAAAAAAAAATCTATGGATATAAAACCGTTCAAGCATATAAAAATGTTTAAACGTTAAACCTAGATAAATGTGCGATGTATCCAATAGTTTGTGCGGAGAGTGGAAGCTAAAGCGCGCTTTGCAGGACATGGAGGCGCCAGCGAGATCACTTGTATTAGTGATTTAGTGTATTCAGTGGATACGCCGTCATTTTTGCTCATAAAGGTAAGAGTAATACATCATACGGAACTGTAAAGAGTCTACTTTTATTTGCGTGCACTCACAATATCAACAAAACATGCTTTTATAAAAAAAATTAAAAATAAAACAAACATGGTGCGCTTTCTGCCGTCTCATCTTAAACAGGAGCACTTCACAGAAATGAACCGAAACGCAGCGAATACATTCCTCACAGACATGATAAAATATATCTATAGAAAGTTTTAAATTACTACTTAAAGCTGCAGTCTGTAACTTTTTTTAGTTAAAAATGATCCGAAATCCATATTTGAGCAAGTACATAACCAGCCAGTGTTCAAAACTATTGTCTTACTTTAGTCTGATTCACAACGGTTAGCTTATAATAATGTTTTCTAATTTGAGTGGTACGGGTAGGTTTTCGCGGGAAATTCGAGCATGGCACTGCGTCATTATGTCATGTCTATAAACATAAAGAAGGTGTCCCGGCTACTAGGCTATTGCATGTGAGGATCCTGCAGGTGGCCTTTATAGCCTTTTCTAGTTTATTTTCTAGTTTTATAGTTTATAGCCTTTTCTCACAGCAGCCATAATTAAATGTATCATTTTGATGGCGGACTGTAATCCATAAAGGATTGTGTTTATGAAACACATATGAATGAAATTAAATTATATTCCAGTTATAAATGTGCTTCTGATTACACATTTACATTTGTATTTTAAAGAAAACCATTTCGAAGGTAGCATAATTAGCTTTTTGGGTTAAAATAATTTCTTAATATGAAATTCGAAGAGTATGACAATTAGATTAAACTGTGCAGAAATTGAAATCTACACACTAATACACACTATACTCATAGTCACCAATGCTGATGTTGTTAACATTAATCATTTGAGAATAAAGTATAATGATAATAATTTGAACGGGTTGATGTGATATGAACTAATCAATCGTTAGATTAAATCACCATTGGTAGCGAGATTTATGGTAATGCTTTTTTCTTTAGTTGGTCAGAACAAACGTGGCAGACTTGTTACGTGTTCAGATGGCAATATAAGGTGAAAATTCTTATTTGGGTCATATTCCAAGACGTAGGCTAGAATCTGTGATTGCGAAGTAGAGTAAATATCCACACCGGTGCGGTGACTGACTGCCACACATACTCTTCAGAACATTAGATTCATCCGCGCTGGAGCCGTGCCGACTCATAACCCACGCAAGCTAGATAATTCTGCACTCAGCTGCAATTCCAGGTTTTCAAACAGAGATGGTGACAAAGAGGCAAAACCTACGGACTGCAGCTTTAACGAAATGAAACCAATTGAAAACAAACTCTTTCATTATGATCATATTCATAATCCGTAAAGATGCACTTCTCTCTAAAGGCGCGTCTGATGAGGAGATGGCGAGTCAGGATCGGCAACTTCATCCTTGCGACACGGACTCAGAAAACACTAGTTTATTAGTAAATAATTCAAATATCTCCTTACTATTTCTCCCTGACACATTCATGGTAATTACTTTTGCTGGGGCTTTGCGGCAAGCTTTAGCCTATTGCGTGCGTTTGAACGCAGAACTCTTCAGCTGCGCTGACAGCACGCATGCTGCTGACGGGACACAAAAACACCGTCGAGCCACTCTTGACAATCGCGGTAGCTCAGTCTCGTGTTGTTTCCACCAGCGCGGCAATTTTTTTTTCATCACTAATTGATGGATGTCTGAAATATAAAAATAAGGAGAAGCCTAAAACAGGCCCGAGGCGTAAAAAAGGCGGGGCCCATCGGGCCCGGGCTGAAATGCAGGGCTCTAATGTGTAAGCCAAATTTAAAAAATGTTTTTTATGATTCCCTTCCCTGGCCAAGAACGAACTTGTCGATTAGTGTGATCAGCTTTTGAGCGTCTTATACTGTGAGCATTGCATTTTTAAGAATGATGGTCAAGAATAAATAGTTTAGTTTTTTTGCACTCAGCCATTGTTTTTTGTTTGTTGTTGTTTTTGGACACAAACATTTATTTTGTGAATGCCCCTTATTGCACGCGTTTAATTGTCTTATTATTCAGTGTTTCCTTAGACTAGTAGGTTACCACTAGTGGATTTTGAAAGTGTGTAGTTTTGAACATGACACATCATTTTGATGCATTAATTGCATGTTTTGACTCTGCAGAAATCACCTCAGACAGAGAGCTGCACTGACAGTGGGGCGGAGAATGAAGGAAGCTGCCACAGTGACCAGATGAGCAATGATTTCTCCACGGATGATGCTGTGGACGAGGGCATCTGTCTGGATAACACCAGCAGCGCAGAGCGGGTGCTCAAACCAAAGGTCACCTCATGTCCTCTCTGAACCCTAATGCTGAAGTGCTGTATTGAATTGTGGAAGATGAAAGACAAACATGCTTTTTCTTGTCTCCCTTATAGAGCTCCTTGACCTTTGAACTCTTCTCAGTCATGGTGCATTCTGGGAGTGCTGCAGGTGGGCACTACTACGCCTGCATTAAGTCCTTCAGTGACAGCCAATGGTACAGCTTCAATGACCAGCACGTCAGCAAGGTCAGCCAGCTAGCATCAGTCTTAAAGGAATAGTTCACTCAGAAATAAAAATACTGGGTCTCATTCACTAATAATTGTGTGGATTATTTGTATATGGGGTGTAACGGTACACAAACATGACGGTTCGGTATGCACCTTGATTTTGACGTCACGGTTCGGTATGATTTTGGTACAGCAGGGAGAAAAAAACTAAACATAAAATTGCTTTTTTTATTTAACAGTGGAGATGTTACTGAACAAATTGCTCTTTAAATAAATTCAATTATAATTAAAATTTTCCTAGGGATAAAAAAAATCTACCTCTGCTTATGCTTTAAACTATAGGGAGCCATTTTACTTTACTAAAATTACAGTTAACAACAGAGGCCAAACATGAATTGATTTACTATTTATTTGAAAGTTTAATAATCAACTCTCAACTTAAAAAATTTATACAAACATGTAAATTGCACACAATGCAGTTTTTAAATTAACTTCTAATTTATAAAATTTCTGTTTGTCTTTGAAATATATTCATTTACATAGTGGCTGTCACAACTTGTTTCATAACAGATTTATTTAAACACACATGAAATAATTAAGACATCACTAACAAGTAAAGTAAAATATAATGAGTATATAATATTTTGCGAAATGCTCTTCTCTGCACTTCATTTCTCTAGCGAGCTAACAAGCTGTGGACACTGATGACTTGCCTGAGGTAAATTAAATTAGGGTGACCATTGGCGCTTTTCCACTGCGTGGTACGACTTGGCTCGGCACGGCTCAGTACGGTACGACACGGCTCGGCTCGGTTTGCGTTTCCACTGCAGTTTAGTATCGCTTTAGAGTGGGCGGGATTATTCACATGTTGTTATAGTTGCGCCGCCTCTACTGCCGCGACTCCTGAAAAACTTTTTCATTCCACGTCGCCCCATCAAGCTCTCGCTGGATCCGCTCCTCGGCTATCAATTAGAGGAACGTCTGTTCTTCCTCAACAGACCACGAAACAAAAAGGTGCGCTCGTTCAAAACAGTTGCGTTCGATCCTTCATTGGCTGTGCTGATTTAAATCTAGCAGGTCTGTTGTGTCTCGTGTCGCAAGTCCAATGACGCAGGTAGTGATGATTCTCTCCGGCCAATCAGTGATCAGCAGAGTTTACACGTCACGTTTTGGTAACGGTACGGTTCGCTTGGAACCTCAACCGAGGTGGTACTAAAAGAAGTACCAGGTACTGTACCCAGTGGAAAACCCCCCAAAAGCGAACCCTACCATACCGTGTCATACCATGCAGTGGAAAAGCACCACACATGTCCTCTTTTTCCTGGACATGTCCTCTTTTTGGCCCTTAAAAAAATGTGTCCGGCCGGGATTTTTTTTAAATCGCTCAAAATGTCCGGGATTCGGCTTTTTGCTTTCTACAGTCACCATTCATTGTGTACGTTTTTGTATTAAAGGCACAGTATGTAAGATTTTTTTATTAAAATATCCAAAAACCACTAGAACAGTGTTATATATTTTGCTGACTTGTGTACTTGCATTATCCCAAATGTTTCGAAGAATGTTTAAATCCAGAGAAATAAGCAATTTTAACTAGTGACACAAACCGTGTCTATAGTGTCATCGTGTCGCCTGCCAATGATATAACCTCTCGATTTCTGGTTTTGTTTTGTAGAAAACATGGAAACACCAAAGACGCTTTAATATGTTGTGCGTTTTAATAGACCGGTGACGACCGCACAGAGTAGAATTATAACAGAACTTTCAAATGTATCTAGTATGATAAAATGGCGCTGCTTTACCCCACATACACACGACCGGAAGGAGCGGAAGCGGTCGACTGTGGCATAATAAAAGCTCCGCTGCTTTCGAGCCGTGTGTCGCGCTCGTTCAGCGGCCTCGTTTCGCTTCAACGGCTTTCAGCCTCACCCTGCTTCATTCTACAACGTTAATAAATCATTAGCTCATCCATGAACATGATTTCTGCCCGAGTCCCGTCGGATTGCATCGGCTGTGGGGATGAAGACCACAACTCCCATGATTCCACACTCAGTCACGGCGTCATCAAACTATGCCTTTGTCTCTTTGTTTATTTTGAATACGCACCCTCCAGCGGCGAAAATTACATATTGTGCCTTTAAAGCCCTGCGCTGGACTGTTTTCTTGATCCCGCTCCCGCTGATTTTCTGACCATTACTGCCTGCTCCCGCAAACATTCTAATATTGAATATTATTTTGCACATCAGGGAGCCACTATCAATCTGCTGGTTGGATGCAGGGTTGCCAAATCTGTATTCTTTGCGTGGAGTTGGGCTGATTTTCTCCCGTGGGTTAAAGGTTTGAAAATATTACATAGATTACATTTGACTGAAGTGCTTGTATTGAAACCTTTTGCATTCTACCTATGATAAAACTGGTAGATTTTAAGTTTTGTGAAAGGATGGCCACTGGTAGGAAGCCTTTTAGCTGTGTTTATGATCAATCTGCATAACAGTGACTGTAAAATATGTATTTTAGGTATGGAAATGACATATTTTGAGTTTTGATAGTTGGGATGATGTTACTGCGCTACTTTGAGGGCTACTTTAACCCCCAACCCCCCCTCCCCATTTTGTTTTAAAGCGGTTTTATTCACATCTTTCCATGGTTGAAACACAGATTGAGCGATTACACAAGGCATGAGATGTCCATTCATGTTTATTTTGTGTTAAAACTAGTAGTAAAGAGTAAGTGCTCCGCGCTGCCATTTGAACGGAGGCGTTTATACAGCGATCTGTCTCGCCACATCAAAGAGCAACATTTATTGTTTGAATTTCCTAAAAAAAATGTATATTATCTGAAAGATGAGACTTTGTTTCTTATCAAAAGTGACAATGTATAAAATTGGATGTTTCCAATGAAGTTTCACTCATGCATTGGTTAAAACAATTTGTTCAGTACAAATGCGTACTGAACCGAAAAAGACCTGTACCGAATATTTTCAGTGAACGTGTACCGTTACACCCTTAAAATACACACTTTTCACACAAAAAATTCCACCATATTCACTAATTTGTTATTAACCTAATTCTAACGTTAATGAATTTGAAGTGTTATAAATGAGCAACCACATGTTCAAGGTTAGTAATTTACCTAAAACACACCCAAGTCATCGCTATATAAGGGCTTTTCATACAACCTTTCCTTCCAGTGTCGACTGGGTATTATATTTTGTATTTTGGTCCTTTTTGCAGCTTGACAATATAAATCTATATAAATTTATATCTATTTTTGTTTGTACAGAAAGAAAGAAAACTGTACAGGATTGGAGGATTATAATACAGGGTTGTAATTTGTGTTATCGCCGTCATGTGTGCATTCCAGATCACGCAGGATGACATCCGGAAGACATATGGCGGATCCTCAGGGAGCAGAGGCTATTACTCCAGTGCCTTTGCCAGGTGTGTGAAGCCTCCTAGTCCTACATTTGTGATCTCTAAAATGCCAAACAAAAACCCTTGTAAAACATATAATGTAAAGTATATCAATATTATCCATTTTTATCAAATCTTCTAATTTTCCGCCCCAACAGCTCTACAAATGCATACATGCTCATGTACAGACTAAAAGACCCCTCCAGGAATGCAAGTAAGAAATGGAATTTACATGGTTTGAATGTTGCAAATTATTTATTTATTTATTTTCTCAGTATCAAAAAGCATTCCCACTGATCTTGCTCTCTGTCTGAGATTCTGGAATGTAATGGACTCGGTGTGTGTTTTACAGAATTCCTGGAAGTTGAGGACTTCCCAGAGCACATAAAGAGACTGGTGCAGCGAGAGAGAGAGTCTGAAGAACAGGAGAAGAGGCAAAGAGAGATTGAGCGCAACACATGCAAGGTAAACTGCATGGATATACTTGGGCTCTGTTCCAAACCCTAATGAGCTGCCTACCTAGACAGCATTTTAGGCATCACAGGTGTGCTCTTAATGCAAAAGCTGTTCCAAGCAGTGCACCACAGAATTTGACCGAAATTAGGTATCTGAAGAGTATAATTTAAGGCAACATTAAATGTGTTAAGCCACAAATATTTTATGGTGGTGAGGGTCAAAGGAAATATGGGCAAAGATTTTGCAAAGCACTGTAAAAAATATTTTTCTAAGTTATAAATAAAGCATATTGGAGTATGTTTTACAAGATAATGATACTTTCTATTTCTACAGTCTTTCTACTACACGTCTGCTTTCTAATTACATGTTTAATTCATTGTGTTACTTGCCGTTTCTTTGTAATTATTTGTGAAATTAACTAGCAATTTCTGGATGAAAATTGGGTTAGGATAGTATGTTTCATCAGTGCTTACACAACTTGACCAATAAAATCTTTAGAAATGACTGTGGGGCAGGGTTTGCAGGGAAAGAAAATCATAGATGTGTATTGCTAGATGCCTTATTAGCAGCTGTTTCTATGGGCCACTATACGTAAGCCATCTGCCATATTGGAATGGTCAAAGCTGGTCTGTGAACACTCGAGAGCAACTTGAATGTGTGTTTGCAACCATATTTATACGCATGTATGAATATCTTTATCTGCAATACACTTCAGCTGATAATTTTTCTAAACTGACACAATACAACAAGGCAAAAATGTTAGCTAACATGACATTAAAAATTTAACAGTTTAAAAACCTGTAATATTAAGTTAGTACTAGGAGTGTCGCGATACACTGGTATTAACGATAACCGTGATATTCAAATCATGAAATATCTACATCGTGTTAATTTAGGGTGTGACGATATACCGGTATTGGCAATAACCACAATATTTAAAATGAACAGGACGCTTATGATAACACAACACGCAAATAGCCTACTCCAGCGCCAGTACCTGGTTGACCTCCCAGGTGGCAGTATTGCACCTTAACGCTGACACCTGTCAAACAAGACGACGACGCAGCACTCGGCTGCGCTACTCCTAGAAGAACCATGTTCAAACAGTAAGTTGCCATTATTTTACTAGTCATGGAATGGGAAACGATACATTAACCTGTTAATCTAGAAAATCTAGAAAACTGAGTGACCACATTGCTACATTAAACTCTGTAAAATGTTAAATGGATACTTCACCCAAAAATGAAAATTGGCCCATTATTTACTCACCCTCAAGCCATCCTAGGCGTATATGACTTCCTTCTTTCAGATGAATCCAATCGGAGTTATATTAAATATTTACTTTGATCTTCCAAGCTGTTTAATTAGCTGTCAGCGGGTGTTGCAGTTCATCAGTCCAAAAGAAGTGAAATAAAGTGCATCCATCCATAATAAAAAGTGCCTCACACGGCTCCGGGGGGTGAACAAACAGTTGTACACGGAAGCAGCTCCGGGAGGATGACGTAAGATGTCTCAACTAATGCTGTAAAATATACATGAGAGTCAGCTGGCACTATAACATACTATAATATTGAAGGTTAAAATTGACTGATTTATAGGCTATACAACTGCTAAAATTACACTTAGTAAAGTTTTTATAATAATAAAGTTAAAATTACATAATATTTCTACTTCAATTCATTTTTTTTATTATAAACATTTAAGTGGTGGCTGTCATAACTTGACGGATTTATTCAAACATAAATTAAACATTGCAGAACAGTAATAATTATAATGAATATGTTATATTGTGTATATATTTAGCAAAATGCCCCTCTCTACAGTTTATTTTTCTAGCTGACTAATGAGTTTATGGTCACGAATATGTTTTTTTTATGAGGTGACGTTACGTGACGTTGTTTTCAAGCCGTTATATTGAAGTCTTTGTGCGGATGAAACACTGATTGAGCGATTATGTGAGACAGGATACGGATTGTAAAGTTGTGCTCTTTCTTTTAACTTGGGTCATGCAAACTTTTATTTTGTGCTGAAACTGGTATTAAAGTGGAGGAGATGATCGGTTCACATGCGTCTGTTGAACTGAGGCGCTACAGCGATCTGTCACTCTACATTAAACGGCTTCAAAACAGCATTTATTGTTTGAATACTGCAATACATTGGACAGAATTTGAAATCTGAGACTTTGTTTCATATTAAAAGTACCAAAGCACATGCTTATTGCAATTTATTGGATGGGAAGTGCCCTTCAATGTTCCGTCTGTTAACTGAAAACAAACTAGACTAATTGATTCTTGGGATTTTTTTACCCAGCCCTACATATTAATAACACAAAAACACATTCTCACCTGTGAAAGTTTATCCCGTTTCTTCATGAATATAAAGTTCGGTGATTTTTACAACCAGAGGCTCAGCAATGTTGCATTACTGAGAGTGACGACACATTGACCGTTCCAAGATGGCGGACACGTCAACGTGTGTGGTGCTGTCGATTGTGGCATCTACCTATACATATCTTTGGAAAAAATTTAAAATTATTAAATGCTAAACATAGTGATCTTACACTATAGACTTAAGTGCACTGACATCTGGTGTATGCATTTTTGATGGATAGTGTTGTCTCAAATTGAAAACATTTTTACTACATTAATGCCTTCACTTTCCATTTGAAGGAATAGAGTTGATTTTTTTTTATGGCAGTCCACAAATTAGCCTCACTCTGTATAAAAAATTGATGTTCATCAAGATAATCTTCACAAATGATCACAACAACTTAGGAATTTTGAAGCCTAAATACAATCAACTAAAGTAAAAGCTATTAAAAATGCAGGCTATCAATAAACTACCGAATGGTCACATGATTTCAACATCACCACCATTAAGCTTCCGACAACTCTTTCAGTCTTTAAGAAAACATTTGCAGTGAAAGTTTGAGTAAGAATAGATAGCAAGAGCGCAATTATGAACACAGTGAGGCTGTAAAAGTGGACTAGTGAGTAGATGAGTTTACTTGTTCAGTGTGATGAATGTCCCTGACAACCTCTGTAGTCCCGTTTAGATGCTTGATAGCAACTGCCAAGACAAATAAAAGCTTTAAAAAAGCACAAGGTGGTATTACTGATGTGTTTCATGTTGTAGAATAAAATGTGAAAATATTTTGAGCTTGTTAAAAAAAAAAGAAAGGATGATGGAACCAAAAACTGCCAAAATGCTGACTTGATGTGTAGGATTCTGCCTTAAAAGACCTGTGTAGACAGAGCCTGTGTTTAGAATAGAGCCTTATTCTGTCCTCTTCCATTAGATCAAGCTCTTCTGCATTCATCCAGTGAAGATGATGATGACTGAGAATAAGCTGGAGGTTCACAAGGACAAAACTCTCAGAGAAGCAACAGAAATGGCATACAAGGTGAACAAGGCCAGTGTATAGTTGTCTATAATTCACCTCTGCATCAGAAAGTCACTATTCATTTATAACTGGTTGTTTCCTTGTGTTTGTCCTCTGGGTGATCAGCTGATGGATCTTGATGGAGTGGTGCCACTGGACTGCTGTCGATTGGTGAAATACGATGAGTTTCACGAATATCTAGAACGTTCGTATGAAGGGGAGGAAGACATGCCCATGGGTCTGCTGCTCGGCGGGGTCAAGTCTTCATACATGTTTGACCTACTCCTGGAGATCCGCAGGCCTGACCAAATGTTCCAGCCCTACAAACCTGGAGGTATCTAGTGGGCAGAACATTTGCAATATACTCGAAGTAAAAATCTGCAATCAAGGTCCCAATGAAAAAAATGACATTAATGCATCATTTTGCAGTCCTTTGATTTCAAAAATTTTTTATTATGGTTGACCAGATATCTTTTCAAAATTACCTCACCATTAACTGCTGACAATGTTTGTGTGTTTATTGCAGAGGTGATGGTGAAGGTCCATGTGGTGGATCTGAAGAGTGAGTCTATTGCTGCTCCAGTCAGTGTCAGGGCGTATCTCAACCAGACTATTACAGAGTTCAAGCAACTCATTGCGCAGGTACAAAATCTCAATTCTGAGTGAATACACTGCTCCATTACCTTACAAAGGCTAATTTCCATAAATAGGGTAAAAAATTGTGACCCATTATTTTTTTAAACCAATGAGCGCCCAAGTCCAGTGTTGTTTAGAGAGAACAATTAGATATGTTAGATATACTATCCAACACTAAATTATTATAAAGTCCCCCCTTACAATAACCATGCAACAGTGTCATAATTTGTAATTTTTTTTTATTTTATTTTAAATTTTGTATTGAATTACCAAAACTACCCTTTTTGCACTTACAGGCAAAATCTGAAATCCTTGATTTTTTTTGTTTTTATGTTTCATGTATATATATTTTTCATTTATTTATCTTAATTTTATCTTCTTTTTTTCAATAGTTTAGTTTTATAAACGCATGCCAAATATATGTTTTAGGGAGTTTCAAACACACTTTTGTTCCCGGTTTGTGGAAAGTGCCAAAGACTGTTGAAACAGATGTCCGCTTCCATCTAACATTTTGTCACCTGGTTGTGTGTTCTTCTCAGGCCACGGGGCTTTGTGCGGAGACTATGCGTGTCGTCTTAGAGCGCTGCTATAATGACCTTCGGCTTCTTTATGTGCCCAACAAGACTCTGAAAGCAGAAGGTTTCTTCAGGAGTAACAAGGTTCACTTGCATAACACTTACTTTAATGGCTCTTTTCTAAAACTTAGTGAGCTGCATCCTGACCAAAGTAGAACATGACTGGTTTTGAAATGTTCTTCATAAACAGTTTATGGTCATGCATGGCATACAACTATGCATGGCACACAATTATTGCTCCTCCAATAAGGTATATAAGAGATTTGACTATCCCTCTTATTATATACACTAAGTCCAAAATGCGTGACACTAAAAAATACTTGCCAAAAATAGTTCTTTTTTTATTTATAAAACATTTTTAGATTTTTTTTCAGAGCCCGTTGCAATGCATTCTGGTATTGAATATATATGCAATCCATAAAAATAAAAAAAAAGTATAATTTTAGGTAAAAATCAGTGTACTAGTAGTATTCTTGTAATTGTACTATATCAGTACTTCTTGGGACTAAATTGGCCCACTTTCATTTTGCTGTAAGTGTAGTTTAACTGAAGTAGAGTTGAAATACACAGCTAGTTTCCATATAAATGATAGCAAACTTTGTTTATTTGCTAGCTATATACTTAAAGTTTACTTATTATTTTATGAAAGTGTACTTTGAAGTATACTTTCAGTAAACTAAAAGTCAAATAGTTTTTATACTGAAATTATACTTGTAAGTCCTGCCTTAGCCTATTTAGCTGACCTACTTTTTGGAATGGCCTTCACATTCCGACCATGCCAGTGCCTTACAATTCTGTTCCAAAACCTAGAGAACTAAGTTTCACAAGTGTTTAAGATCCTTCTCGAAAGAGAGATTTTTGCTGCATTTTCCCTTAAAATGTCTTAATTTAGCTGTTTTCTATAAGATGCTGTTGTTTATGCTCAGGTTTTCGTGGAGAGCTCAGACTCAACGGATCATCAGGCTGTTTTCACTGACTCTGTTTTGTGGAAGCTCCTGGATCGGCACGGGAACACAATCAGACTGTTTGTCTCCTTGCCCGAGCAGTCGCCAGGCTCTTTGGCCAACAGAACTAGTTGCCCCAAAGCTAGCGCTGACTCTGAGGACTCTTTTGATGGGGCGAAGGGCAGCAGGAAGTCAGTGGAAGCCATTCTTGAAGAGAGCACAGAGAAGCTAAAGAACCTTTCTTTACAACAGCAACAGCAGCAGCAGCAGCATCAGCAGCAATCCTCCAGCACCAGTGACAGTCAGAAGAGCTCAGAACACAGCGACTTCGAGCACATCGAGTCACCAGCACAGGAGCCGGACGCTGCCTCGCAGCCTTCCCAGACGGAGAACTCCACACGGGCCGCCTCAGACACGGAGAACCAGTTCCCCTCAGAGGAGCGCTCGGACTCAGATGTCAATAACGACCGCAGCACCAGCTCGGTGGACAGTGACATCCTGAGCTCCAGCCACAGCAGCGACACGCTGTGTAACGCGGACAGCGGCCCGCTCCCGCTGGCTAACGGCCTCGACTCGCACAGCATCACCAGCAGCCGGCGCTCCAAAGCACACGAGGGGAAGAAGGAGACGTGGGACACGGCGGAGGAGGACTCTGGCACGGACAGCGAGTACGATGAGAACGGCAAGAGCAAAGCTGAAGCCCAGTACCTGTACTTCAAAGCAGAGCCATACTCTCAGGAGGACGGATCTGGAGAAGGACAGAAATGTAATGTCTCTCTAGTTAATTAATGTAATGTCTCTCTAGTTAATTATTGTTTTTTTAAGGACACCTTGGACAGGATTTGAGTTTGATTTTAAATGAACAATGCTGTGTTTCAGCCTTAAATAGCAGGGCATATATTTGTTTTATTAAATCGCAGTCTTCACAATCTGTCTATAGCATTAAGCCATGTCACTATAAGGTTTTTATTTTGATATTCCATGCATATAATATAACGGCACTTTTATTTATTTGCCAAACCGCTAAAATAAAAGCTTGACGGTTTAATGTCAATAATTTTAATGCATGCTATAAAATAATATAAAATTATTTATATTGTTTAATTCAATTCTAAACAATGGTATTATTGTAATTTAACAGTATAAATTTACAATATTTTAATTTATGTAATCTTTTAGCCCTATGAGGATGGTTTGCATGCAATTAAGATGTTTAGAGTTCAAAGGCATTTTACATTTTTTGATAGTATTTTGTTATTTTCTATGCAGATTCTCCCCAACAAAATTGCCTTTTTCCAAATATAACCTTTCAAGTCATTAGATGAAAATTGCTGTATTGTATATTACAGGGGGGGGGGGGAATGTGTGTGTGCGCGAACTGTGTGTGTGTCAGTTTTGTTTCCTATATTGCGTAACCTTACTCAGTTGGCTGGTAACCTAAAACGCAATTTGGGTTTCAAATCTAAGGAATTCTAATGATGATTTGACCCTGTTTTATCAGATGTAAAAAACTAAATATAAGATGATAAAACCAAAAAGATTCAAACCGTAAAACTAAATAAAAGAAATAATCGTTAAACTAAACAAATAACCATCTGTTTCTGTTGAACATACATTTTAGTAAACAAGTTAATGTTGCTAATGTTTCAGGTTTACTTGTCCATGTTGACAAGAGGATCACACTGGCAGCGTTCAAACAGAATCTAGAGCCGTTTGTTGGCGTCCCCTCCACTCAGTTTAAAGTCTTCCGGGTTTATGCCAACAACCAGGAGTTTGAGAGTGTGCGGCTCAATGAGACGCTCTCCTCTTTCTCTGATGACAACAAGGTGAGATTCTGACTTTACATTTTCCTATCCTAGCTTAATATACAAGGACAACTATTCTTAGTTATTCTTGCAATTCTGTTTGGCGCCACTAAAGACGCTTAAATGACACGCTGCATGTTTATATGCACTGCTGCTCTGCTGTTAAACAGATCACGATTCGATTGGGACGTGCACTGAAGAAAGGAGAATACAGGGTGAAGGTGTACCAGCTGCTAGTCAATGACCCAGAGGTGAGGGACAAACAGTTTGGAAATGGATGCGTTTTGTATATTCTGCAGAGGAATGAGTATTCTGAAGCTGACAATTTTGTTTTGACAGCCCTGTAAGTTCCTTTTGGACACTGTGTTCGCTAAAGGCATGACTGTTCGACAGTCTAAGGAGGAGTTGCTGCCTCAACTCAAAGACCAGTGTAAACTGGACATCAGTATAGATAGGTAAGCCCATATCGAACATTGTAGATTTTTCTTTCTAAAGGCCCTGAAATTAAGTGAACGGTGAAGTTCTTCATTGCTCTTTGCAACAAAAATGACAGCCATAAGAAAACCGAAGCTAAAAGCATCTGGTCACAGTGATGTGGATATGTTTACCAGAGCTCTGCAATTTGGCACTCCAGTCAAGTCACGCCATGTTTATTTATATGGCACTTTATACAATAGAGTGCCTCAAATCAGGGGTAATCAATTAAAGTCCGGTCTTTAAATTTCCTACCCAGCAGAGGTCCGGAAAATTTGGTTATAAATAATGGTTATAAATTTCGATCTGGGCACCAGTAGTACTTTGTAAAAAAATATATATATAAAATAAAACTCCTAAATAGTCAAAATACTCATCCAAGATGAGTTGAGATGCGAGCCAAAGCAGTGGTGTCTGAGAATTTTCCATCCAAAACAAAACCCTGCTTTAAAACGAGCAGCTTCCTGACTGAAACGGAAGAAATTAACCACATCAAAGAAGTGGTATTTTGAGAGTGTTCACCAATCGGAGCAAACTTTTCCCAAATTGTTGCTTTGGCTAGCTGTTTTGAACACTTGAAATGAACTTTTTGCTTGATTGTGTTTGAAATGACACCACACCAGTTCATTCTTCGTTTTCACTTAAAGTATATCTGGGCCTCAAAAAATTTTTTGCACCGGGAACATTCATGATTTTTCATCTATGTAAACATCTTTTGTAATGATTGGCTAAGCTTTTAGCATGTGAAATGAGTAACAGTGATTACTGAAAAGACATTGTTGTATACATGTGGCTTGTTAACAAATTCATGTGTTTCCTTTTGGCTTTGCAAAATCACAGACTGAAACGAACCATTTTTGTTTAAGGGGTGGACACACTACACTTTTCATTACACTGACTTCCAATCATATTCATATTCATTCATATCACTGCATTCCAAAGCACAAGTTTGATGAACTATGACATTTTCATATCATGTGGGACCAATAAAGGATTGATACGTCATGGCGTGACCTCTTAGCTGAATTAAAAGAACGCAAACTTTAAATCTGCAAAGTGGAATAAGTTGCATACTTTTACATTTTGGATGTATGTTCAATAAAGCTTTTTTTTTTATTGAACAAGTAATGAAAAATCATCATGTTTTCTTGTTCTTGGGATGGCTGTTGTTGTCGCAGGCCTGACTCATGAATTGCTGCAGCAGTTTTGGATGCATATCCACTTTCTGCATGCTGCAGTGACTGCAGCAACTGACCTTTTAAATGCACTGACTCGCAGCGCAGGAGGATTTATGCCTCAGAATACAAACAAGATGTGTGTCACTCTGTGTGTGTCAGGTTTAGACTCAGGAAGAAGACCTGGAAGAACCCAGGCACAGTGTTTCTGGATTATCACGTCTATGAGGAGGACATCAACATCTCCAGTAACTGGGAGGTGTTCCTAGAAGTCCTTGAAGGTGAAGACTGTCATGGCCAAGATAGTTGTCATAAATATTCTAGTCCAACAGCCCATGTATTTAGTCATTTAATGACTTTCTTGCTTGTAGAACCGGAGCGCATGAAGTCCATGTCCCAGTTAGCGGTTCTGACCCGTCGCTGGTGCCCAGCCCAGATGAAGCTGGAGGCCTTCCGGGAGGTGGTGCTGGAGAGCAGCAGTGTAGAGGAGCTCAAGGAGAAGGTATGTGGAGTATGAAATGCTTGGAATTCTTTGTTTTCCTGGTCCCACTTTATATTAAGTGGCCATAACTACTATGTACTTACATTTTAAAATAAGTACAATGTACTTATTGTGTTCATATTGTATTACAAAACACTTCTGCTGCTATTGAAGTGGGATATGGGTAAGGTTAGGGACAGGTTTGGTAGTATGGGTAGGTTAAGGGTGGGTTAAGGTGTAAGGGATGTGTCATCATTGTAATTATAAATGTAATTACAGCAATTAATTACAGATGTAATTACATGCAGGTATTTTTAAAATACAAGTACAATGTAAAAACATGTATGTACACAATAAGTGCATTGTACCAAATGATTAATTCAAATGTAAGTACATAGTTGTTAAGGCCACTTAATATGAAGTCGGTCCGTTTTCCTCTTCATTTGAGTTTTAATGTCATATTTTGTTCCCTCAGCTAAGTGAATTGAGTGGAATTCCTCTTGAGAACTTGGAGTTTGCCAAGGTACAGCAGTCTTTGCGTATCAGATTTACATTTATATTTGACAGATTTGGTTGAGTTTCAGATGCCCTTCCTGCAGTGCTTCAGATCTGACTGTCTTGTTGCTCCTACAGGGACGAGGAACTTTTCCTTGTGACATGTCAGTGTTGGAGATCCATCAGGATTTAGATTGGAATCCTAAAGTCTCCACCCTCAATGTCTGGCCACTCTACATCTGTGATGATGGCGCCGTGATCTTCTACAGGTAAAGCCTTTCCCTTTCACATATAAACTTGATTATTAGTTTTTAAACTAGTTAAGTAATGAAATTATATGCAAAAATACAGACTGGTTAGCTGGTTCTATGAATGGGCTATATTATATCATATTATATTATATTATATGTGACCCTGGACCACAAAACCAGTCATAAGGGTACATTTTCTGAAATTGAAATATACATCACAGCTGAATAAATAAGCTTTCCATTGATGTATGGTTGGTTAGGATAGGACAATATTTGGCTATTTGAAAATCTGGAATCTGAGGGTGCAAAAAAATCTAAATATTGAGAAAATCGCCTTTTAAAGTTGTCCAAATTAAGTTCTTAGCAATGCGTATTACTAATCAAAAATTAAGTTATAATATATTTACGGTAGGAAATTTACAAAATATCTTCATGGAACATGATCTTTATTTAATATCCTAATTATTTTTTTTTGGGCTATTGCTAAAAATATACCCCAGCGACTTAAGACTGGTTTTGTGCTCCAGGGTCACATATTATATTTAATTTAATTTAATTTAATTTAATTTAATTTTTTCCCGTTTTAACAATGTAGTTTTAATTGTTAAAGATCATTGCTGATTTTCTACAAGCTTTGTATTGTTACATTTTCAGAATCAACCAGTTTGTGAGTTGTCCAAAAGGCTAGTTTAGTTGGTCCTGTGAAAACTCTTTACAATTAGGCTAGTGTATGTTAGTTATGTTAGGCTGGTTATATATTACATTTATTTTATTTTATTGAATTAGTGTTGAATTGTTTTAATAATGTAGTTTTAATTGTTCAAGAACAACTTTGTCAAATTTCAACCAGCTTTGTATTGTTACAATGTTGGTAGTGTATGTAAATGAACAATGTGTACTTATTTGTTGTTGTTGTTGTTGTTGTTGTTGTAATCTGCATCCAGAGATCTCTGTTTTGTTTTTTGGGCAAAAGTCCACAAAAAGTGTCATCTAGCTGTCTTAAGTCCTGGTTAAATAATCATCTTTTAAATGTTTTTTTTATAGCAATGTTATATATTTGTTATATTCATATATTTTATAAATTATTATGATGTTATATATTATATTGTTTAGTAAATGTATTTTTTTGTTTGAATAATAAAGTAAATAAATTAATATTTTTATAACAATATAAAATGTTATAGATTTATTGCTACATATTTTAAATGATTTTTTAATCAATTATTATTATTTTTTTTTACGATTTATGTAAATTTGTCATGAATAATAATATATGAATTTATATTATACTTAATGTAAATCCACAAGTCAAAATTATATCATAAATTAGTTGCTTTAAATAAAACTACCTTTAATTTAAATATTAACATTGCTATTAAAGATAAGATAAACCGACTAGTCATCTTAATCTGTAATTAATTAGTTGCTTGTTGGTTAATTAGTCAACCATGCATTTCTGCGCCCATCTCTGCAGGGTCAGCACCGAGGAGCTCATGGAGCTGTCTGAGGAGGAGCGCAATGAACTGATGAAGAAGGAGAGCAGCCGCCTGCTGAAGACGGGCCACCGCGTCAGCTACTCCCCCCGCAAAGAGAAGGCCCTCAAAATTTACTTAGACGGAGGGCCCACCAAAGACCCTGGACAGGACTGAGAGGGGGAGGAAACTATCCTTCCCTATTTTCTATCTGGCCTGCCAGCTGCAGTGTAGCGCTGCCTCGCCAGCGACCTTGGCATTTGGGCCCCACGTTGAATCAACGTCACCAGTGCTGTCCGGCTGACGCTCTCTTCTTTGAGCTCCAGAATGCATAGTGTGGCTCAGAGTACTATTGTGCACCATAGTTTATTGTACTGTAAAGTTTAAAGGGAAGTGCAAAAGCTATTTCAAGTTCAATATCATTCAGATAAATCAATTTAATAACACAGAGACGGGTGCACTCATTAGAGGAAAGGGGGGCAGTTTGGGAGATATATTTTATGGCCCTCTTCATTTCTTTCGTCTGTTTGCACTCTCAGTGCACCATCTCCATTCATTTTCGTCCCGTCGTTCTGCATTTGCTGTTTGTCCATCACTCACTCTCTGATTTTGAGATGCGATCGAACGCATCGAATTCTCACATTCTCGACATCCATCATCCTGAGTCTATTCAGCACTCGAGCACAGCGCGTAACGTATCCAGCCACCTCCGAACGCCCGCAGGGGTGACGGCACTACTCATCTTCCATTGCGTAGAGCTCTTCGATCGACACTTTCACTTGAAGTTTTTGGTATGATGCTCTCACTTGAATATTGGGATATCTCTCCTTTTGTTTATTTAACATAGTTGTGAAATTAAATGCTTCTTTTCTGGCTGAAGAGGTTCTATTCTTGCAGTTCATGCTTCTTCTTGTGTGTGGGTGTCGCCCACTGACTGCTGAAGCTCTGCCCACTTTGTAGGGAGCTCCGCCCTCCTCCTCTCACTACACTTCCTACTGGGGCTAGTGACACTGGTACATATGAATTTGCAAGCCTTTAAGAGTAGGGCGATATGAATCAAGTAGTGCGCTTCGTTCACCCAATTCATTTTTTTTGTTTTTGTTTTTTCTTGTAAATTATTTCACTACAGACTGATGACGACGTTGGGTCTTGTGAGTGACTTTTAATGGCACGTGTTTTAATTTTTTGATCTGTACTCGGCTTTTCTTTTTCCATTTAGACGATGTCCTGTGTTCTTTTTTGTTTTTATTTCTGCACAATGTGAACAGAGCCTGTGGGTTCGGATGTGGCAGGTTTGCGTGTGTGCATGCGTGGAAATGCTTCTCGCTGCTGTTTTCGCATAGCTGGAAAGCGGAGGGTGCGGACGCCCCACTGGAGGAGCGCCAGTGTCGGAGCTCGACTGAACCTCTGCGGGTTCCTGGGCTCCTAATGCTGTCAGAAGCTGTTCACAGTAGACATGCCAATACTGAAATAAAAAGCAACAATCAATCTCTGTCTGCCTGCTTCCAGGTTGACGTATACGAAGAGCTCATATTTTAAAGAATGGGGTTATATAAGGATTCAAATTTTGCTTGATTTTATGAAATCATACTAAAAATTATATAAAACTATATTAGCATACTATAACATACAAAACATTAAGATGTCTTTAAAAGGGATAGTTCACACAAAAATCATCATTTACTCACCCTCAATTTTACTCACCCAGAAGAGTTTTTCTTCTGTTGAACGTAAAAAGATATTTTGAACAATGTTGGTTACCAACAGTGCTGGGGGTAACGCATTTCAGGTAACGCGAGTTACGTAATCGGATTACTTATCAGATAACTAGTAAAGTAACGCATTACTTTTTAATTTACAAGAGAATATCTGAGTTACTTTTTCAAATAAGTAACGCAAGTAATTTTTTTTTTTTCAAATGTATTGATTGACAGCTCTCCTGTCCCCATGTTGAGAGAAATCAGAAGATGTTATTGCAGATATCAAATTTTGCTTGATTTTATGAAATCATACTAAAAATTATATAAAACTATATTAGCATACAAAACATTAAGATGTCTTTAAAAGGGATAGTTCACACAAAAATCATCATTTACTCACCCTCAAGTTTACTCACCCAGAAGAGTTTTTCTTCTGTTGAACGTAAAAAGATATTTTGAACAATGTTGGTTACCAACAGTGCTGGGGGTAACGCATTTCAGGTAACGCGAGTTACGTAATCGGATTACTTATCAGATAACTAGTAAAGTAACGCATTACTTTTTAATTTACAAGAGAATATCTGAGTTACTTTTTCAAATAAGTAACGCAAGTAATTTTTTTTTTTTCAAATTTATTGATTGACAGCTCTCCTGTCCCCATGTTGAGAGAAATCAGAAGATGTTATTGCAGATCTAACATAAATATGAATAAGCATTAATTAATTTCACTCAAAAAAAAACAACAACACCGATTCAGTATTCCTCAAAATGAATAAAAATAATGCAACTCAGAATATGACGCAAACCTGCAATAATTAAATGTTAAACAACACAAATATCCTTTATGTATTTAATCCCATTCTATTAACCAATGTCTTTACTTCTGACCTTCGATGATCCAGTTCAACCGTACAAATAAGCACAAATTACTCTAGACAAACATTTGTGTTGAAATGTCTTCTTCTGCATTCTACTGTACGGATGTAAATGTACTTTCCCTTCAGCCTGAGGCTTATTCATTTCACTTTTGGTGTGAAAGGCTTTTATATTTGCCAAAAATATAACTTTTTTTATTTTAAAAACAAATAAGCAAGCCCTGTCCAGATTTAAAAAGTAACGCAAAAGTAACGTAACGCATTACTTTCCATAAAAAGTAACTAAGTCACGTAATTAGTTACTTTTTTATGGAGTAACGCAATATTGTAATGCATTACTTTTAAAAGTAACTTTCCCCAACACTGGTTACCAAACAGTTGACGATAGCCATTGACGTTCATAGTATTAAAAAAATACTCTAGATGTTAATGGCTACCATTTTTCGGAATATCTTCTTTTTAGTTCAACAGAAGAAATTCTAAAATCTTCAGAACAACTTGAGGGTGAGTAAATAATTTTCATTTTGGATGAACGGTCTTTTTAAGCTGCAGAAATGGTTCATTCATAAATAGTACTAATTTCTCATGTGCTGGTGGTGTTTGCGTAGTCTTAAGGTGTGGTCACATTAACGGCATTTCATGCAAAAAATGTCCATTGTCTGTTGTCAAGTATAGCAATATATAAATCACAGCTCAAAAAGAAGTCACTTTCAAATTAAGTGGCTTTCTGTAATGGGCAGATCCACATGACCAACTTGAACCCAATCTGCAAGGGGAAATCTTTGCCCTTGTGCAAAATTCACAATTGCATGGATCAATTCCTATTGAAATGGATGCATTTAGTCTGCGAAAGTTCTCCGAACTGACATTAAATTTTAAACGCACACTTTTAAGGTGAAGTCACATTAGCAATGTTTAGGCAAAATTTTATGGGCAAAAAAATGTCTGCTGTTAATAGTGTAGCCATGGTTGAAGCATAGCTCACACAGAAGTCATTTTCAAACCAAGCCGCTTTTTTATTGCTTAATACAGCGAATTCATGTGACCTACTTAAATGCATTGTGAAATCTTTCACTCTCATGCGAAATTTGCACAGATTCCTATTGAATTGACTGGATTTTGTCTGTGAAAAATTTGGCAAACAACAGTAAATGTGACCACACCTTTACACCTTATAACTCTCTCAAAAAAAAGTGGATTTCTGGTGAAAAATTCTAAACTTTGGTTCATATTATATATAAAAGATATAAACAACATGTTTTTCAACCTTTTATTTTCTGGAGCAAGTTTGTGTTCATTACCTGGGTAAATTACAAGAGGATTCTTGTATGGGTGCGTCACTTCGGCTGCTACACTAAACTAAGATGGGATTGGCTCTCAACAGAGTTTTCCTCTTTCCATTTTTCTGCCTGATGTATTCTTAAAGCATTAATTCTGTGCATTAATAATAAGTGCTTCTTTCCAATGCTCAGAAGCCACAGTTGAGCTTCAACACTTGAGGGCTGTTCACACTGACAATGATTTGATCTGCTGGATGCCCAAATATTACTGCTGGGCTCCCTTTGAAAAATAATCATCCTATGCAAAAGCGCATTAATCGAAGTCGCAGGGAATGTAACTCACTCAACTACAGTACCTCGCATGTGACTGTTGCATTAAGTTTTGTCGTGTCATTTGATGCCTCCAACCATCACTCGTGTCCTCTCAAATCGCCAACTTTCTTTGGAAATGAATGGCTTCCAGGCAGCTTGATACTTTCAAATCGCTGTCAATGTGAACGGTCTTTAGATTCAGGCCTTCTGCTGCACATTCACAGCTGTTTGGGTGATTATAATGAAGCGTTTCCTACAAAGCTTTGGCGTGACGATGAAGCGTTCATGTCTGTTTCAGCAGCTTCTCTTCATCTGTCTGTCAAACAGGCTTGAGTCTCACTAGACGATGTAGTCAATCTCAGAGTAGAGAGTGTCAGTGAGCTCCTCCTCGCTGGAGTTCTGACTCTTCAGGCACAGTGCACCTCGTCTGATAAAGAGAGTGACCACAATTTAATTTTAATCTTTCATATATTATTTCATGAAGTCAAGAAAACAGTCTTTTATGATCAACAAGGCTGATCAAAAATACAGGAACAACTACTGTAATATGAAATATAATTGAAATGTGATTTATTCATGTGATGCAAAGCTGAATTTTCAGCATCACCACTCCTGTCTTCAGTGTCACATGATCCTCCAGAAATCATTCGAATACAATGATTTGCACCTCAAGAAACATTTCTTATATTATCAATGTTGAAAAACTTTGCTGCTTAATATGTTTGTGGAAACTGATACATTTTTTTCAGGATTCTATGATGAATAGAACGTTCAAAAGAGTCTTTTATAAGATTGTAAATGTCTTTACTCTCACTTTTTAGCAGTTTAATGCAACCTTGCTTTTATTTAAAATGTCTTTCTTAAATAGTGCACATAATAGAAGTTGATCACTAAAAACTAGAGTTTGGCCAGGAACTTGCTGTCATTGGGGTTGTTTTCTGCAAATATCTGCATATTAGAATGATTTCTGAAGGATCATGTGCCACTGAAGACTGGAGTAAGGATGCTGAAAATTCAGCTGTGCATCACCAGAATAAATTGCATTTTAAAATACATCAAAATAAAAAAACAGTTCTTTTAAATAGTAATAATATTTCACAATATTACTGTTTTACTGCGTTTTAAATCAAATAAACGGTGAAAAAAATCTTACTTCAAGCTTTTGACTGGTAGTGTATAAATATTAATATGTACATATTTATGTCATGTTAAGTGAAAACAGCCAGAAGATGATGGCTTCTTACCCAAGGTGTTGGCACTGCAGATCACTGGCACATGGGCAGTGGTCATGAGGACCCTCCCCCTTCAAATTCCAGGACAGCAGCTCCATCAGGTGATTGGCTGAAATGATGCAGCGCTCACGTTCTATTGGCTTAGAGCTGCACACTGGAGACCGCAGGGCTGAAAATTGAAAACGAGTAGTTAAACTATATGTGCTATTCAGCAGGTGCAGCTCAAGATGTTTTAACAGACGATGTAACATGCTCATATGATGCAAGATAATCATACCTTTATGGAAGACACAGCAGAACTCCTCCTTACAGTCACTCTGGTACTGACAGATGGTTCCTGCTTCTCCTTTTGCGCTGTTTGCACACTGACCCCACACACACAGCTGTCCCGCACAGCATTTCTCATCTTTGGTGCATGTCTTGAGGAGAGATGCAGGACATACAATGGGTTAAGACCGCTCAAAATATTTCAGCATGCATATTTCATGCTTGTACTGAACCAAACAATTTATTCTTTCAGGACACTGATGCACAGCAATGCATCTCAAGAACACTGACTAGGAATTACTCATCAAACCACACGTTCCTCACGAAAAATTATCAAAGTAAGAGTATATTTAAGACTAGACATAACCAGACTTAGACCGTACAAACATTAGTGCCAGGGTTTTGCTCAAGTGTTCCGAGTAAGAATCGTTAAGAATAATGATTCAGATTCCTTAATGATTCTTTCATATCTGAAAAAGCACAGTGTTGCATTTACTGCTTATAAATAATGAGATCAATTAAGATTTCAACAGAACAGGTTTAACATCTCAGAAATGTGAAATAATTCTTGTAAAAGATCTTTACACGGACAAAAATACAAACTTGTGGTTCAGTATGTGAATCGGGGCCTGTATTCACAAAACATTTCATCTTACCACTAAGAGTTCTCCTAAATAGCAGTAAAAGTTTTTAGCTAAGAGTTTTATCTTAAAACCTATTCACGAAGCTGCTGAGACAAACGTTTACTAAGGAATAGAGAGAAGTCTTAAAGGCACAATATGTAATTTTCGCCGCTAGATGGCGCATATTCAAAATAAAGAGGCAAAGGCGTAGTTCGATGACGCCGTCACTGAGTGTGGAATCATGGGAGTTGTCGTCTTCATCCCCACAGCCGATGCAATCCGACGGGACTCGGGCAGAAATCGGCAATTGGATGAGCTAATGATTTGTTAACGTCATTAGCGTCATTATATGTGGCAATTAAAGGGGTCATATGATGCTATTTTAAAGATAGCATTTTGTGTATTTGGTGTAACAGAATATGTTGACATGCTTTAATGTTCAAAAAACACATTATTTTTCAAATACTGTACATTATTGTAGGTCCTCTATGCCCCGCCTCTCTCAAACATGTCGTTTTCAACAAAGCCCCCTCCTTTGACAAACGCAGTCTGCTCTGATTGGCCAGCTGACCCAGTGCATTGTGATTGGCCGAACACCACAAGTATGCGTCAGAAATGTAACGCCCCTTACCATAATCGCGAGCATCAGAATAAAGTGCTTTTGCTTTCGCACTGAAACACACAGCGTCTCCCTGACATGGCTGCGGCAACACTACTGCTGTTCCCAAAACTACGCCGCCTTTCTTTGCATGCACATTTGGGCAGCATTATGCTAATAATTCCACATAGTGACGTAGACATGTGGGGGCGTGTTAGAGCGAGCCATTTTAGGTAGGCTTGGTTGACTCCTAAAGTTGACTCTACCTATTATATCTTGATTTATAAAGAATATCTTTTTGGATTTGAGACTTTAGTCTTTGCAACATTACAGACCTTCTTTATGCAAGAGCTTGTAACACTCCAAAGAGAAAGGAAAACTTGAAATCATATAACCCCTTTAACATTTTTATTTTTAAACCTTTATTTGAATATGGCAACATAAAATCGTGCTCTGCAATATTTATATGTATAAACCTCTGACAGAGCCTGCCCCTATCAGCCAATCACTGTGCATAGTTACTAAGCATGCTGACATCATCCATAGCAACGAGGTCAGCCTTACTCTTACCTTAAGACTTCTCTGTATTTCTTAGTAAAAGTTTGTCTCAACAGCTTTGTGAATTGGTTTTAAGAGAAAACTCTTTTACTGCTATTTAGGAGAACTCTTAGTGGTAAGATAAAATGTTTTGTGAATACGGGCCCTGGTTCATAAGAGTCATTTAGAATTCAGACTCCACTGGTTGTGCGGCATGCTATTGATTCACTAAAAAGAACTGGCTTGTAAGTCATTTGTTCAAGAATCAGACTCCTCAGGACATGCTGTATGTTTATTACTATTTATTGCTTCATGTCAGTGCAGGCCTCCAGTGAATTCTTTTCACCCTTTTATTATCTGCTAAAAGAAAATCTTAGAAAACTATTAGCACAATGTTCCATACATATGTTTATGTTTGTTCAAAGCCTTACCAAGGCTCTCTAATAAGCAGACACAGTTTGTTTTGATTGGGTGTTAGAATCTGCTTCAACAATATCCTGCAAGAGTAATGCACATCTGTATTCTGCTTAGTTGGCTACCCTACTTCCTGTGCCGCGAGGTGAACTCAATATGTCCTATCTTGGGCCGAAGAAGCTGCTCATATTTAGCAATCTGCGCACTTTGATGTGAAACCCAAAGGAGAAACGCTTCGGCATATCAGATTCCAGCTTCGCTCGTACAGTCACAATGCAGGCCCTGTTGCATCATGTTATTGGAAAGCCACATTACTGCGTATTATATTTGTGCAGAGACCCAGAGAAGACAGAAAATAATGAGCAAATGAAAATAACTACGGACTAGGCTGAACACCTAACATGTAATAAGCAAACTTGATGATCTATTATTGGATAATAGCAGAGGTCTTCAAATGTGCCTGGTCTGTGAAATTTGAAACCGCTTCCCGCATCAGTGTGTTTGCAGGGCAGACACTTTGAGCTCTGTGTTTCGTAGAGACAGTAGCTGCCCTTCTCACAGTCTTCATCAATGATACACTCCTGAGAGACAGAAGGAAATCATTTAAAACCTTCAAGAAGGAACAGATCGAGCAACATGTGAACTAAAATAAGAGTCATAACCCACACATCTACAGTATGTGAGGAACAAATCAATAGCATAGCTGTACTTCACAGAGTTAAAACAACATTCACAGGATTTTGGGAGGATATGAGGTGGTCATATGATGGGTGCAGTATTTTTCTACATCCCCACATTTAGGCTGATGCTGAAGTGTTGGACAAAACGCTTTTTATCCCTTAATGCTCCATTTCCCTCCTTTTTCATTCTGGTTCATAAATATTTAACAGGGAAAAAGTCATTTCTTCCATTACCTTTAGAAGAATCAAACGAGTGATTTAAACCTATTAAATGCTGCAATTATGGGTTACACTTTACTTGAAGGGGTGTGCATAATCATGACATGACACCTTCATAATCATGACATGACACATACATAATCATGACATGACACCTACATAATCATGACATGACACCTACATAATCATGACATGACACCTACATAATCATGACATGACACATGCCATGAATATGAAGGGTTTTTTATGCTTGTTTATGACAACTGTCATTAAGTGTCATTCGCTCAGTTATGTCATTTTTAATGCAAAGATGACATTGTTTGAGATGTCTTTGTTATGGGCTATGGTTAGGGGTAGGGTTAGGTTAGGGTTAGGTCAAATGTAATATTTGCATTAAAAATGACATAACTGAGCGAATGACACTTAATGACAGTTGTCATAAACATGCATAAAACCTCCTTCATATTCATGACATGTGTCATGTCATGATTATGAAGGTGTCATGTCAGTCTTATGCACACCCCTTCAAGTAAAGTGTTACCCAATTATATTATTATAAATCAGACTCATAGCGACAGTTTATCCAAAAATTCTGTCATTTACTCACCCTCATGTCATTCCAAACCGGTATTACTTTCTTTCTTTTGCAGAACACAAAAGATATTTTGAAGAATGTTGCTAACTAAACCATTCTAGTTCCCATTGACTTCCATTGTGTAGAAAAACATCTCAAATTATCTTCAATTATGTTCCACTGAAGAAAAAAAATGACATGAAATTACACAAGGGTGAGTGAATAATGACCAATTGTGATTTTAGTCAATATCTGTTTGGTTGTCTATAGGCTAGTACACTCCTAAATGTTTATATTTTTGCAAATATACATGTTTAAAATGGAAAAACATCATCTGGAAAAAATAGACCAAAATATTTATGACTCATCCTGCACCACACAGATTTTTGTCCAATCAAATGCTGTCTAGAACAAGTGTCCCTCCCTCTTATACCACCTGCAACTGACTAGCAAATCATCATTCATGCGATTTTATGTCTATTAAAGCAAGAAGCCGTGGTTTACAGTGAATTTATAACAGCTAAGGGGTATTGCAACACCTTTGAGCAGGTCAATACACAGCAGACAGCCTTATTTCAGTCAGACGGGAAATTAAAGCTGAGGAAGAGTATTCCTCTTCCTGAACACTATTCCTCCTGACGTCTCTGAGAAGATGTGTGCAAATAAAAGGGTTTTGGTTGTGGCAGCGTCTGGCTGAGCAAGATAAATACCAGGTTTTTGAGAAACAATTAGACGGCAAGATAGATGGACAGACAGACAGCTTACGTGATCAATGCTGTTCTCTTTATCTCTGGGTTGTAAGGTTGTCAAGTTGTTTGCATCTTCGGTTGAATTGTCCGTTGGCTGGGAGTAAAAACACAGAAATTCATTCAGTCACGTTTAATATTATCGTGCATTTAATGTGATGGACATTCATTTGAAATATATTCATATGTGCATTATCCCACTTATCACTTAACACATTAATGAATAAATGGACACAAAATAATGATTAGAGTTATACTTTTAGTATGTGAGAAGAAACTGGAAAATGAGACATAAGAAAGCTAATGATATGAAAAGCCTCGCCCCGTGAGTTGACGAGATTGGTTACATGTTTGTGATGGTAGGAAACCGCATTTTTGAGACTGTCTTTGGTATACTGCAGATTTAATGAGAAAATGCACAGCAAAGGTTTTGAATTTGCAAACTTGATTTTCACCACAGGGGGTCTTTAAGTGGTCATTATGCCAAATGATCTGACCAATCAGAATTAAGTACTGTGGAGAGTCATATAACTGTATTTAAACTGCTTTACTGAACCAGACAAAAGCTTTTTACCCACCTTATTGATTCTCTCAGCAGTATAAATGGATTGATTCCCAGCTATGATTTCATTACTGCTGTAATTTTGGAGATTTGAAGAGACACTGTGTGGATGGAGGCTGGATTTCGCTGTCTCATTGTCCATCTGAGAAAAAAAAAAGGAAAACGCTGCAATAAGTACAATTTCCCAGCTATCAAATGAGCTATTTCTACATTAAGTGACCCTTAAAAATCTCTTTCATTGATGTAAAGGTTTCCACAACTGGTGACCAATGAATTTCCATAACTTTTTCAGTTCTTGATAACTGTATAGACTGTCCTCACAAAGAGCAATTTCTTACTAATTAAACTTTTTAGTTCTGGGCATATATAACTAAAGTATTTTATGATTTGCACAACTTTATAATTCTTTATAATGTGAAACTTCATAATGAGCCCACTGTATATAACTAAAGTATTTTATGATTTGCACAACTTTATAATTCTTTATAATGTGAAACTTCATAATGAGTTCCCTCACAGTGGGAACTGTCTAAAGGTTTAATCAGTAATATTAAATTATATATTTTTAAACCACTTTAGATTTTACCACATTAAGCACATACCGATTTGACCTGACTATATATTTTTGTGTAAAGAGGTAAAAGGTCTATAAGATAGACTGATAATCAATTTAACCAATATGTATAATTCTATTCACTTCATGGTCATCAGTTTTTTGTATATATATATAAATATAAGTTGATGAACAATGGCAAATTTGGGAGATCTCTGAAGAATAACACCTAACAATGGTATTCACAGGTAAAACAGTATGAAAAGGTGTAGTTTAAGACTATGAAAATAATCCTTATTGGTCATAACAATACTAGTCAGTCTCTTTATATGAAAATTTCACACTGCTTTCTAATATCTCATATCATGTCCATACCATCTAATTAAGCTGTGATGGATCATTTTTAGGAAAACTCTGCTCAGATTTGGCATGTGCTGCAGCCAATGATGCTATTATTAAAACTCAAAAGTTATTAGTTATGAGAGATGTTTAAAATCCTTCCCCAGATCTACTCTGAGAGAGATTCATTAGTGAAGAACAATAATTGGGCTGTATTTTAAAGCAAAAACCTGATGCACCGCGTTCTCCAGCTTCTGCTGCGTGTCCTCCATCAGTTCCTCCACCTCTCTGAACATATCGCTCAGTGTCGTTTGTCCTTCTTCTACATTTGTTTCCATGTTTGCAATGATGTCCATGTCTGTTTTAGATATCTCAGGGACAATTCCTTGGACGATGGCCAGGCACAGGCTGAATCCGAGCAGAAACATGTTGACAGAGCGGCTGGTGTCTGTGCAGTGTGTGTGTGAGATCAGAGAGCGGCTGGTGTCTGTACAGTGTATGTGTCTGTGCAGTGTGTGTGTGTGTGTGATCAGAGAGTGGCTGGTGTCTGTACAGTGTGGGTGGGGGGGGGGGGGGTGTGTGTGTGTGTGTGTGTGTGTGAGATCAGAGAGCGGCTGGTGTCTACAGTGTGTGTGTGTGTGAGATCAGAGAGCGGCTGGTGTCTACAGTGTGTGTGTGTGTGAGATCAGAGAGCAGCTGGTGTCTGTACAGTGTGTGTGTGTGTGTGTGAGTGAGATCAGAGAGCGGCTGGTGTCTGTACAGTGTGTGTGTGTGAGTGTGTGTGTGTGCAGAGATATCATAGGCTGGTGTCTGTACAGTGTGTGTGTGTGTGATCTGAGAGCGGCTGGTGTCTGGACAGGGTGTGTGTGATATCAGGGAGTGGCTGGTGTGTGTGGAGTGTGTGTGTGTGTGATCTGAGAGCGGCTGGTGTCTGGACAGGGTGTGTGTGATATCAGGGAGTGGCTGGTGTGTGTGGAGTGTGTGTGTGTGTGATCTGAGAGCGGCTGGTGTCTGGACAGGGTGTGTGTGATATCAGGGAGTGGCTGGTGTGTGTGGAGTGTGTGTGTGTGTGATCTGAGAGCGGCTGGTGTCTGGACAGGGTGTGTGTGATATCAGGGAGTGGCTGGTGTGTGTGGAGTGTGTGTGTGTGTGATCTGAGAGCGGCTGGTGTCTGGACAGGGTGTGTGTGATATCAGGGAGTGGCTGGTGTGTGTGGAGTGTGTGTGTGTGTGATCTGAGAGCGGCTGGTGTCTGGACAGGGTGTGTGTGATATCAGGGAGTGGCTGGTGTGTGTGGAGTGTGTGTGTGTGTGATCTGAGAGCGGCTGGTGTCTGGACAGGGTGTGTGTGATATCAGGGAGTGGCTGGTGTGTGTGGAGTGTGTGTGTGTGTGATCTGAGAGCGGCTGGTGTCTGGACAGGGTGTGTGTGATATCAGGGAGTGGCTGGTGTGTGTGGAGTGTGTGTGTGTGTGATCTGAGAGCGGCTGGTGTCTGGACAGGGTGTGTGTGATATCAGGGAGTGGCTGGTGTGTGTGGAGTGTGTGTGTGTGTGATCTGAGAGCGGCTGGTGTCTGGACAGGGTGTGTGTGATATCAGGGAGTGGCTGGTGTGTGTGGAGTGTGTGTGTGTGTGATCTGAGAGCGGCTGGTGTCTGGACAGGGTGTGTGTGATATCAGGGAGTGGCTGGTGTGTGTGGAGTGTGTGTGTGTGTGATCTGAGAGCGGCTGGTGTCTGGACAGGGTGTGTGTGATATCAGGGAGTGGCTGGTGTGTGTGGAGTGTGTGTGTGTGTGATCTGAGAGCGGCTGGTGTCTGGACAGGGTGTGTGTGATATCAGGGAGTGGCTGGTGTGTGTGGAGTGTGTGTGTGTGTGATCTGAGAGCGGCTGGTGTCTGGACAGGGTGTGTGTGATATCAGGGAGTGGCTGGTGTGTGTGGAGTGTGTGTGTGTGTGATCTGAGAGCGGCTGGTGTCTGGACAGGGTGTGTGTGATATCAGGGAGTGGCTGGTGTGTGTGGAGTGTGTGTGTGTGTGATCTGAGAGCGGCTGGTGTCTGGACAGGGTGTGTGTGATATCAGGGAGTGGCTGGTGTGTGTGGAGTGTGTGTGTGTGTGATCTGAGAGCGGCTGGTGTCTGGACAGGGTGTGTGTGATATCAGGGAGTGGCTGGTGTGTGTGGAGTGTGTGTGTGTGTGATCTGAGAGCGGCTGGTGTCTGGACAGGGTGTGTGTGATATCAGGGAGTGGCTGGTGTGTGTGGAGTGTGTGTGTGTGTGATCTGAGAGCGGCTGGTGTCTGGACAGGGTGTGTGTGATATCAGGGAGTGGCTGGTGTGTGTGGAGTGTGTGTGTGTGTGATCTGAGAGCGGCTGGTGTCTGGACAGGGTGTGTGTGATATCAGGGAGTGGCTGGTGTGTGTGGAGTGTGTGTGTGTGTGATCTGAGAGCGGCTGGTGTCTGGACAGGGTGTGTGTGATATCAGGGAGTGGCTGGTGTGTGTGGAGTGTGTGTGTGTGTGATCTGAGAGCGGCTGGTGTCTGGACAGGGTGTGTGTGATATCAGGGAGTGGCTGGTGTGTGTGGAGTGTGTGTGTGTGTGATCTGAGAGCGGCTGGTGTCTGGACAGGGTGTGTGTGATATCAGGGAGTGGCTGGTGTGTGTGGAGTGTGTGTGTGTGTGATCTGAGAGCGGCTGGTGTCTGGACAGGGTGTGTGTGATATCAGGGAGTGGCTGGTGTGTGTGGAGTGTGTGTGTGTGTGATCTGAGAGCGGCTGGTGTCTGGACAGGGTGTGTGTGATATCAGGGAGTGGCTGGTGTGTGTGGAGTGTGTGTGTGTGTGATCTGAGAGCGGCTGGTGTCTGGACAGGGTGTGTGTGATATCAGGGAGTGGCTGGTGTGTGTGGAGTGTGTGTGTGTGTGATCTGAGAGCGGCTGGTGTCTGGACAGGGTGTGTGTGATATCAGGGAGTGGCTGGTGTGTGTGGAGTGTGTGTGTGTGTGATCTGAGAGCGGCTGGTGTCTGGACAGGGTGTGTGTGATATCAGGGAGTGGCTGGTGTGTGTGGAGTGTGTGTGTGTGTGATCTGAGAGCGGCTGGTGTCTGGACAGGGTGTGTGTGATATCAGGGAGTGGCTGGTGTGTGTGGAGTGTGTGTGTGTGTGATCTGAGAGCGGCTGGTGTCTGGACAGGGTGTGTGTGATATCAGGGAGTGGCTGGTGTGTGTGGAGTGTGTGTGTGTGTGATCTGAGAGCGGCTGGTGTCTGGACAGGGTGTGTGTGATATCAGGGAGTGGCTGGTGTGTGTGGAGTGTGTGTGTGTGTGATCTGAGAGCGGCTGGTGTCTGGGCAGAGTGTGTGTGTGTGTGATCTGAGAGCGGCTGGTGTCTGTACAGTGTGTGTGTGTGTGTGTGTGTGTGTGATCAGAGGAGCTCCAGCTGCACGAGGCAAGGCGCATCCACACTAACACAAACCTCATTGTACTGCATCTCAAATTCACATTTACTGCATGTGGGAGACATTCAGTGAATTTACGCGAATTTGACATATGCAAATGAAGTGTGACGAACAATTACAATATCTGAGTTAGGCTATTTGATTCACAACGTTTCGTATTCAGTTTTTCCTTAGTCTGTTGCATTTATTTTAGGCTTTATTTATTTGTATTTATTTAGTTGTAGGCCTATTTTTATTTAAAACATATTAGGCTATGTCTTTTTATGTTTTTTTTCCTGATAAACAATAAGGCGCACTCATTTCCCCTTATTAAAAAGTGCTACGCACAAATAAATTATTATCATTACTAATACTATTATTATTATTATTATTAGCCTATTTGTATTTTTTTTGTGCATGGAAAAAAGTCATAATGTCCGCAATGCAATGGTTAACAATACTCACACACAAGGAATGTTAAACAAGAGTCTTGAACACTTTTGATGTGAGCTATTTTTGACCAAACAAACATTAGAGAGTAGGCTATTGACGTAAAGTCGACAGATGCATGGCGTTTGCGCTACTTTTTAACGAATCGATTGATCCATGACTCACTGAGAATATAGAAGAATTGAATTAAAATCACCGCTATAGGCTACTTTGCATTAAAAAGTAATTGTTCTGTTCAGTTAAGTTCTGTTTTTGGTTCTCACAACCTTCATGAGGCTGTAGACTGTGGTTTTCTTTCATGTAAAATATGTGTTTAAAGTATATGAAAAACTCTATTTTATGGCCAGTCAGAACTGGTAAACCGAATCAGTCCAATTAGTGAATGAATGATTTAATCTCAGATCCGATTTAAAAGATGAACGCAATTAATGCTGACTTTTTTTGAATCGTGAAGCGACTTTAATCACCCATTAATACTACATTTTACAAAACAATCATCTGTTGCCTTGCGTTAACCATCTATATATATACACACACACACACATATATATATATATATATACTGTAGCCCTATATATATATATCT